GCACGCGCTGCAAACTTCCGCCGTTTAGGGTTTAGGGTTTAGGGTTTCGGGTTTAGGGTTTAGGGTTTACGGTTTAGGGTTTAGGGGGGTTTATGGTTTAGGGTTTCGGGTTTGCATATTCCCGTGCAGGCTGAGTTAGGGAACACCCTTCTTGCATCCACAGCAAGCCAAAGGAAACCCCACCACGATACACACGCGAGAGCTTGGGCTTGAACTTGAGTTCTGGGGTGAAGCACTTTTGGGTTCGGAGGGGCTGTGTTCTTCACACGCGGGGGGGGGGGGGGGGGGGGCAGAAACCCGCAAATTGTAGAACAGGAATTGCGTTTTTTTTGTTTTAAACTGTTGCAGCGTTCATGTGAGGTTAGGTTCATTGAAGGCGAAGCCGAAGTGACCAGGTTGGAAGCAAACTGTGCAAGACACCCGAAGACACCCCGCAGCTAATTCAAAAACCCTAAATGGGCGGCATTGGGTACCCCTTTTATGTCCCGCATAGAATCCCCTTTAAGGGACCCCCAAAAAGGGTACCCCTATTTTGGGAAACCCCCAAATCCTTAACCCTCAACCCTCAATCCTCGACCCTAAACCCTCGAGGTGCACAATTTCGGATCGACAGCGGATCCCCGACGCGAGGGCAACTGTGGCTTGGGCGCCACTTTGATGGCAAGGAGCTGCTTTGAAACTTTTGGGACTTGTGTAGGGTTTAGGGTTTAGGGTTTAAGGTTTAGGGTTTTGGGTTTAGGCATTAGGGTTTCGGTTTGAGGGGGTTTACGAAAACAGGGGAACCCTAGTACCGACCCCAAATAGAAGGATTCCGTTATCACGAGTAAGGTACCCCTTATCCCATTTAGGGTTTAGGGTTTTGGGTCATGGCAGCATGCATAGCACCCCACCATGCGGCTCCCCCTGGACCTGCCGAAGCATACGGTTTGGGGATGTTCTCCTTATACGAACAGCTCCTTAGTAGGGATTAGAGTACCCGCCCGTTCTAATCCCGAACATATGGGTATGGAGGACTTGTGTCGGCAACCTTCAAGTTTGCAAGATGGTGCCTTCTTCTTTCTTCAGACATCAAGCATCCTACTCTAAATCTGAAACCACAAACCCCAAGCCCCATGCACTGTGACGGCCTTCTGCTACGTCTCCGTAATCTCCACTGAGTTCTCTACCTTTGCCCGGCTACTATCGGCTGCTCCTTCTCACGGCACATAAGCCCTAAGCCCTAAACCCAAAACCCTAAACCGTAAGCCTTTACATACATACCCCTAAACCCTGAACCAGGAGAAGGGCCTTTAAGGCTTGGGAATGAACCTCTTATACCAACAGTTCCTAATGGGGACTTTTGTACCCCCCCTAGTATAATACCCATGAAGGACTGTTAGTAATTATAAGGGGGAGCATCCCCAGCTAACCCCAAACCCCATAGCCCCAACACCACGCCCAGGTCACGCTGGAGCCTGCCAAGGGCCCCGCCGCGCCCTACCTTTACGAGGGCTGGATGCTCCAAGCTCTGCACTTGACCCTTGGTGACATTGGGCGTGAGTCTTCCCGATTCGCTTTCCAGGGACCGAGTCGTGATGAAGTGTGGGTTTCTGGAGCCTGAAAAGCGCACAGCAACTTTGTAGCTGGGTGCGGAAGTATGGTGTTCCACTGTGGTTTCTGATACCCCCTCCCTCGTTTTGGAGCCCTTTTTGTCATGCGGCGTGCCATGAAGATACCCTCGGGCGCAGAGTGAAGCCTCATCCCCACACCCGTACCAGGCGAAGTGACCTGGGATTCGTAGGCTCGTCCAGCAGCCATGGACTCCTCGGGATCCTCGGACACCTACTTTCACATGCTTAAGGTGCGCAACACGTTCTTGGAGCTTCAGACGCAGGACGTGGCACGGAAGTCGACATCTTCGCGGCCGCGCTCCAACAGCTGGACTGGCTCTTCCTCCAACAGCTGCAACTTCGTAGTAGAGTAGGTAACCTTGAACCTTTTTGGGGTGTTATATGTCCCTTAGAATCCCAAAGGTTAAGAGTTACTTACCCAAGGATACTGGACAACTAAGGCAACGAGAACAGCTCAGCAGATGCCGAGCAGGAGCAGTGGTTTGCGGTCCCCGCGGCTGGACAGGCGCACCCGCCACACCATTCAATCTTCGAGGATTCGGGATCCTCAAAGGCTTCAGCTTCTTGCTTAGCCCAGTGGTGCCCGTTGCCCCTTTTTTTGGGTTATGTCTTCCCTTATGAAATAACCAACCCCAACATTAAGGGTGCCCTTGTTATAATATACTGGGCTACCCAGGCTTTGGAGGAGAGCGCATCGACGTCCTGGGAGACGGCCATGCACGAGTTCAGCGCAATGACGCCATGGCAGAGTGCCATGAGCGAGTTCCACAGCGAGCCGCCCATCACGCGCCGGCACCCGCCTCCCCTGGCGCCTCCGACCGCGCCCAGGGATGAGATGAAGGAGCCGGGCGCGGTGCCGTGCCGGATTGAGGCGATCGAGGAGTTCTTGGAGGACTTGGCAGCCCAGTGGTGCCCTTTGTTTTTTTTTGGTTTTGGGTTCCCTTCTAAAATAGCCAACCTAACAAAGGGTGCCCTTATGATAATATGGTTACTGGGCTACCAAGAGGACGACTACCAACCGCGCTATGGACAGTCACTCGGTGCAAAGGGACATGGCCGCGGGAAATGCACCCCGTGCACCCGGATTTTGATTCGACCTGGCTGCGAGTTCGGGGCCCGATGCATGTTCTGCCACCTTGAGCACCCTGGCAGCCCAGTGGTACCCTTTTCCCCTTTTAGGGCATTTTAGGGTTTAGGGTTTAATTTGGGGTTAGTTTAGGGTTAGGGTTTAGGGTTTGGGGTTTAGGGTTTAGGGTTTAGGGTTTTTGGGGTTCAAGGTTCCCTTAGAAAGGTAGCCAACCCAAAAAAGGGTGCTCTCACCCCAATGAGGTTACTGGGCTACCAAGGCACTCGCACCACACGGACAGCAAGAAGAACCGCCATCGTCCATGCAAAGCGGCACGGCAACAGTACAAGCAAACAATCCAGAAAATCTACGAGGAGTTCAAGGACAACCCTGAGAGGAAGAAGAAGGCGTTGGGAAAGATCTCCGAGACTTCGTAGTATGAGTAGGCCACCTTTAGCCTTTTGGGGTAGTACAAACACGCCCCCTTGAAACCCAAAGGTGAACCTCTTTTAAATTTCCCATCTTATAATACCCCAAACCCTAAACCCTAAACCCTTTTTGGGGTTGCTCAGAGTGATCTCAGCATCTCAGGAGACGAGCCCCTACATGCGAAGCCTCTTGAAGGGCTTAGGGGAGAAGCTTGGTAGATGAGTGGTACCCTTTTGCCCTTTTTGGGTTGTGGGTTCCCTTCTAAAATCTGAGCAACCCCCAAAAAGGGTTTAGGGTTTAGGGTACCCTTATTATAAGATGGTTACTCGGCCACCAAGGAAGGATGAGGACGAAATCCTGGCGCGCCTTGGGCAGACCGTGGCTGAGGAGTTGGAAGCCCCGAGGACACCAGGGCTTCTTCGGTGCTGTTGGTGGGTAACCTTTATAACCTTTTTAAGGGGTAGAATCCCCTAAACCCTAAACTCCTAAACCCTAAGCCCTGTATAACCTTTTGAAGGAGTAGTATCAATCCCCTAAACCCTAAACTCCTAAGGTCAACCTTCGCTTCCCTATAAGTGAACTCAGCACTTATAAGGCTCCAACCACCCGGCGAAGCCGGTGCTGGCTCCACTTCCGCCATGTCGGCATCCTCCTTATCTCCGTCCCCCAAGGTCAAGGGCGGTAAGTCCTTGATCTCCTTGTAGCCTTGAAGTTGCACAGTGGCCTTCTGTGCTGCTGCAAGGTCACCGGATTTGTCAGGTGACAGGTCTGTTACGTGAGCGGAGAACTTTAGCTGGAGCACACGCGCGCACAACGCACGAGGCTTGCTGGACTGAAGCCTTGCATCCCAACACTGCACACAGCACACAAACTTCGACCGGTGTGCATGTGGGCGGTGTGTGGGGCCCAGCAAATTGAAAGTCCAGCAATTTTGCCCCTCTGAACCCTAAACCCTAAACCCTAAACCCTAAACCCCCGGTATACTCAGGAAGACCTTACAGTCCCGTGGATTCGGCTCAGCCGAGTGGCTGTTGTCGCGTCTGTTCTGTTCACCACATATGGCAACCTTGGGGGCGCACATGAACCTAAAAAGGGTTCAGGGTTTAGGGTTTAGGGTTTAGGGTTCAGGGTTTCGGGTTTAGGGTCTAGGGTTGACATACCCTATTTAATAGGGATTCTAGCAGCGTGCAGAATATGATCCCAATTTTTATGGGTCATCTGGTCCCCAAGGAATGGCATCTCAATCTAGTGTTCTGGTGCCCCGCTTGTTTATTCTCTAATGCTGTGTTTGCTGACAAGAATGAAGTCCGAAACCTACACCGATCGGGGCAACAACACACTGCCTGTGCCTTGGTGAAACAGTTTTTCCGTGCAGCGTCGCCAGTGAAGGCTAAAACTTTAAACTCCAAACTCTAAAAAGCCACGGTAGCTGATCCTTCAGTCTTTTTCCTGTAGACCTGGCCACGACGCTGCATGACGCGATTCGAAGCACATGCAGAGATTTAGACAAGTTTCGGGAAGACATGACTGCCCCTGCCTTCTGCACGAGCTTGCCATGTAAGGGGTTAAGGTAAAGACTCCCCCGGCGGGATATTGCGCTGTCAGCAGGCATTGCACGCGGCATACTTCTCGAAGAGTCTCACCTTTCGATTATACCCTGAGATTTGTACACGCCAGACGGCCGGGTATGATCTCGGGGCAGTGGCACTGAGCACATGTGTTCATACGTGCCAGGCAATTGAAGGAAGTCTCGTACTTATGGGAGCTGCCTGCAGTTGAATCATGTGACGAAGCGATAGTCGCAGCAAAAGAAAGCGCTGTTGCCGGCTCCGTGATATCTCGCAGGTGCCTCCAATCACAATAATTTTCCATTGCCAGAATGGTGAGTTCTCGCCATGCTTGCTGAACTGAAGGGAGGTGAAGAGCGCAGCTCTCAAAAAGCTCTCCCTGAGGGCTCCAGCAGCCATGCAGGGACTTCACTAGAAGAAGGGAACCTAAAGTGAGGTTCCCCCCCTCAAGTTCCAGCCAAGAGCCTGTGGAACCGCCATTTTCAGCATCGTCCGCAGCTGCACTGAAGCAGAAGAGAGCAGAGCAGCGAAGAGCAGGACGCCTTTCACTTCAAACATCCACTCTTCTAAGGCGGAATCTACTAGTCCGAATCCTCCTACTGCAGGTAGGCCCACGTTTAGGGTTTAGGGTTTAGGGTTTAGGGTTTAGGGTTTAGGGCTTATGCAAAAGCTTATGAGCAACAAGCATCCAGAGAAGCGGTACAGCTGTGGCACAGCATCGTAGCTGTGATGCGTTTCTGACGCCACAAGGTGTCTCAGGAGGTCTTCTGCCCAGCAGTGGTGGCACTGACCTCTTCTGACTACTTTAACACGCTTTCCCTGTCGGTGGCCAGGGTTCAGGGTTTAGGGTTTAGGGTTTAGGGTTTCGTGTTTGATGCCACCACAGCCGTACTTCTCCGTGGAAAAAGCTTACTCACTAACATGCTGCCTTGCGATCGGGGGGGTGATCAAGCTGACCTGTCCGGTCCACCTGCTGAGGATACTTAGTAGGTAACTGTTTAACCTTTTGGGGGTTTAGGGTTTAGGGTAGAATAGGTCAGTCCTGGCATGAAGCAGCTTCCAGGTTCAAAAAGGTAGAATAGGTAACCTTTAACCTTTTTGGGGTATTCTATTGCCCCTTACAATCCCAAAGGTGAACCTTTACCCCGGGATACACAACCAACCCTAACCCTAAACCCTAAACCCTAAACCCTAAAACCCTAAACCCTAAACCCTAAACCCTAAACCCTAAACCCAAGGATACCTTTGGATGTGAAGAACAACATCTACACAGACGCCATGGAGCAGCACCTCTTTGGCGACCCGCTTTGATGTGCAATGGAGGGGGGGATTCGGGTTTAGGGTTTAGGGTTTAGGGTTTAGGGTTTAGGGTTTAGGGTTTAGGGTTTAGGGTTTAGGGTTTAGGGTTTAGGGTTTAGGGTTCGGTCGGGTCAGTGGGTTGAGGTGGGTTTCCGTGCTTCAAGGCTCAACTTATAACCAGGACTGCCTGTATTGTCTGAGAGAGGGACTAGGATTTTCTGCTTTTGATCGGCAAGTGTGCGTGTTTTGTTTGAATCTGGATTTGGCAGGCCCTGGCTCCGGGAGATGTTTGTGATCTAGGTGTAATCTTGTTTTGGTTGTTGTTTAGGGTTTAGCGTTTAGGGTTTAGGGTTTAGGGTTTAGGGTTTAGGGTTTGGGGGTTTGTTTGGTGTCTCATTAGTTTTGAAGTTTCGTGTTGTTGCAAAACGGGGCTGGTCGGGGTTGCGTTGGCGTTTGTGAGAAGGAAGGGGGGGATGCATGGTTGGGGGGGTGACCCTGGCCCACCCCCACCAGACTTATTTCAAGCTTGTTTCACACATTCAGGTCATACACATTTGACACAAAATTTGACAACATATGATTTTTACGATTTCCAGTCAGGGTTATAAGGCCAAACTCCAAACCCCTGAATATCGGGCTTTTGAGTTTCGTATGTACTCGTACCCGACTAGTCGCCAAAAAGAACAGAGAGAGAGAGAGAGAGAGAGAGAATAGAGAACGAAAGAAAGAACGAAACGCAGAAAGAAAGAAAGAGAACAAAGTATGGGGCAACAACAAAACAAAGGTTTGGGCTCAAGTCGGAAGGCACCCCCGGCTTGAACGTCGTAGGCAGCCATGTTGCAGGCGGTCATAGCACTGGGCGGAGGGAGGGGCGGTCTTGGGGAAGTGGGGCGGAGATTTACAGTGCTGCTGCCTAAGGCTTGTGTGGGCTAGGGGACCCCTGTGCAAGCGCCCGCAATGAGGGGTATTAGCTGTTTTTTTCAAGTTGGGAAGGTTGGAGGCCAAGTGAGCAGCGTTTTGTCTAGGAGCAAGGCTACGTAGAGACGCGATCATTGAAAGCCGGCCGCGTACGTAGCATTTTGCCTGCACGGCGTAGAGGTTTGCGTAGGGTCCGCGTAGGCAAGTCTATGCAGCATGGGCGCGTAGGTCCGCGTAGGTTGTCTATGCTTGCCGCGTAGGTCCGCGTAGGCACGCGTCAACAACATACTCCGCGCGTAGGCCCCGCGCCTACTAAACATGAGCTGATGCGTAGGCCCGCGTAGGATACGCCTGCCATTACAACACCCCACACAGTGAAAAAACAAAGAGCTCAACCTAACCCTCCAATGGGCTGTCAAGTCTTAGCAGCTGAGTGACTACACTTTGCACTTTTTGGGATACTACAACCCCCTATAAGGTATACACTTGTAGGGGGCTTATGATCTCAGCCACCAAGAAGTGACTGCTCTGAGGCTACCCGCCTTTTGCAGATCCTACATGCCCCTGGGATGTTTCCTGGAACTTGATTTTCAGGTTTTTGTGGGAGGATCCTCAACTGCGGAGACCGATATGGCAAGGGCGCATGAAGCTGAGGACCCTGTCTTAGTAGTAGAGTAGGTAACCTTTAACCTTTTTGGGGTATTATCTTCCCCTTATCATCCCAAAGGTTAACCTTTACTTCCCCCAGGGTACTGTAACATTTGGTGCTTCTGACAGCCAAAGAGGTCCAGACGTCCCTACAGCATCCCAGAGGCCTATGTACTCTGCGCTGAATATGTATCGGGCAAGCGGGGGCAACCCCCAGTGTGGAGTTCTGGCTGCATTGGCTGGGCCAGGATGGGAGTGTCGTGGGATGTTCGAAATACAAGAAGCGGAGATGCTGCACAGTTCCCAAGACAGTTCAGTTGTCACCCCGAAACCACTACCCAAAACCCCAAAAAGAGCTTACAGCTTAAAGGTTTCGGGTTTACGGAATGAACTCACATCCTGTACGCGGGAACCCTCTGTCTCAGAGAGCAAACCACAAGAAAGTCGTTCAAGGACAAACTCCCTCCTAAGCACGCGCTGGAACTTACACCAATTCCTTTGGTCCTATGCTGCGCGGCGCCGATGTAGCGAGGAATATATCCGAGGCCCCATTTCGGCGATCCTATCCCGACGCTACGTCAACGGAAGCGCTGTGGCAGCACCCATTGACACCGGCCTGTTTGCCGGGTTCTGCAGCCTCGACAGCAAGGACGCATCTTTGATTTGCAGGCGTGCCCAGAAGACTGTTGCACGACGGTCAAGACGTACGTACATGTGCCACTCTTTTGAAGCCCTTTTGGCTCGTGAACACGTTAAATGTCAAACGCTCTGGCTATGTATTGCAATTGCATTAACATGCCGCAGCCCAAGGCATCCTTTTCTATATGAGATTCATTCGTAATTACATCTCATTAAAAATTATACATTAAAGACCGCTCCGTATGAAATCGTCCACTGACCCCTACTCGCAATGAAATTCAGTTGGAATTTGTATTGCAAAGCAGCCACGCCCCAAGAAATCCTCATCGGAGCCTCGTTTGTCATTGAACTTGATTAAGACGTTAGATTCTGGGGCCACACCGAGCCAAAAAAGACATCCCTTCTAAGCCTAATTCAGAATTACCCTCTAAGTAGAAGTTTAAGTTGCAAGACCCCACTCTAAGAAAGACACCCTTAAGATATCCTCCTCTGGCCCGCGATCGTACTTAGATTTAAGCAAGGAAAGATCTGAAGCTGGCTTCCCAACCCAGCTGGTTTAGGGTTTAGGGTTTAGGGTTTAGGGTTTAGGGTTTAGGGTTTAGGGTTTAGGGTTTAGGGTACCTTCTGTTTCGCACATGCCTTCAGCATCCCATGGCTTCACTCGTTTGCCTCGCATACTGCTCGCAAGCATTCATACCGGACTCGACAACACTCGAACTTAGTAGTAGAGTAGGGAACCTTTTAACCTTTTTGGGATTTAGGTTTAGGGTTTAGGGTTTAGGGTTTAGTTTAGAGTAGGTAACCTTTAACCTTTTTGGGGTATTATGTTCCCCTTATCATCCCAAAGGTTAGCCTTGACTTACCCCAACATACTGGACAACTATGCAACAAGTGTGGATCTCTGAGGGGGGTGGGGAGTGGGGGGGGTGTTTCTTTTGTTTGTTCATATTGAACATGATGCATTCAGATTGTGAGTGTGCCTCCTCACATGGCTTATGCCTGGCACATCACCGCACTTCCTGGCAGGAAGCTGTGGAGTTCAACGGCGTCCGCTGCTTGCGATGTGACACGGTGCAAGTCCCACGTTGGTGTGGAAGCGAGAGCTTGTGAAAACGGTTTCACTGTCTGTGTGGGTGCGTACGCGAGTTTCCGTGCTTGCGTTTTCCAAATCCCAAGGTTGGTCAGCCCTTCGCTTAGGTGCTGAGTGGGTAACCCTGAACCCTCTCGGGTAGTATAAAACCCCTTAAGACCCGAAGGCGAACTTTTTTCGCCCAAGGGAACTCAGCACCTAAGCAGAATTAGGTGAAACCTGGTCCTCTCCTGCGCAGCGAGTGCTGGGAACACCTGCGCTCCTAGACCACCTGCTTCCCGCGTTCTTGCGCTTCTACAACGCAACTGAAGCGGTTGCAGGCACAGCTGCCCCTATAGAGGCCTCTAAGCCATCCCACAACTCCCTCTGGGAGCCCTGAACAGAACACACGAACTGCCCTAAACAACCCAACGCAAGAAAGCTCAAAGAGCTGCAAGAAGGTTTGTGGCTCGCCCTGCCAGGCGACAGCTACATGGAGTACAACTTAGCCAGGCTGTTGATCCGACTGCTCTCACGCAAGACGTACGCACACGCCCTGGCACCTGCTTCGCAGCCTCAATCACAAGATCCACTCAAGCTGAACACGTCTCCTGGCTGTGGACGGCCTTTGAGGGTCGGGCGTATACCTATAGGGGACAAGAATCAAACTGGGTTTAGGGTTTTCACAGGGTTAGGGTGTCAGCACTCACCCATCCCTGGATGCAAGAGTAAAGGTTGGAGAACATCTTGGGCTACATGGAGGTCAACCCTTTGGTCACCATCCGCTATCCAGACGGCGTGGTGATGCTTCCCGGCATGCTCGAGGTTCTGTGAGGCTTCTTATAGAAACGGAGTATAGTATGATTTGACAGGGTTTAGGGTGTGTGTCATATGAGGCGGATGCAGATGCACATCTCAGAACTTGGTCTGAAGCTGGGCCACGTACTTGCAAGACTCCTTGCGATGCCCTGAACCCTCAAGCCTCCAAGCCCAAGATTGAAAGACTGCATGTTATTGTTCCCCAAGGCTTCGGAATCTGACTTACTTGGGCTGTAGTCTCTGAGATGCACGCAGGGCTTATAGGGTTCAGGGCAAATGGTGTATGGGTTATAGGGCTTACATGGTTCAGTGTCTAAGGTACAACGCCAGCCAATCCTAGAATCGAAGCAGCCTCGGCAAAGGGGCACTAAAACCCTAAACCCTACACCCTAACCCCAAACAGAGGTTGGTCGGCCTCTTTGAGTCACTCTTCGGCACTGACGATGGGCTCCGACTACGTCAGTGGTGCACCTTGCCAGAGGGTATAGTTGGGTGTTGCCATCAACTTCAACAGGTGACAAGCTTGTAGGTTGGAAGTGCGGCAGACTTCCATCTTGGGTAGGTCCTTGGGATACGTTATAGTTTTCCTTCTTTGGTTTAAGAGGGTCATATTCATGGGCTCTAAGGGCCATCCTAGGTCCTAGTATCTCAAGCTTAGCACCTCGAGCCGTAAAAAAGCATTTGACGGTCATCGTGGGGGTTGGGTGGGGTGGGCGATTGGGGATTCGGGTGCTGCCTCCAGCAACTCCAGAGAGTTTGGGTTCCAAACGGTTTTAGGGTTCAGTGTTCAGGGTTTAGGGCCTAGTTTAGGGTCAAGACATCAACAGTGAGGTGTTGATCGCGGATGGCCACTCGCCTGGGCGCACAACCCAGCGATATCATCCTGGACAGCGTGATTTGGGTGCTTGAGGGGAGAACTTGGGATGCTCTCCCTTATGGTAACAGCGCCTCCATAGGGATCATAGCACCCCTATTATAGGTTTAGGGTCCTAAATTAAGGGTTTATGGTATCTATTTTGGGACGTTCCCCCCTGATACTACCAGCTCCTTAATAGGGACAAAAGTAGCCCATAATGACTATTAAGGACTGTTAGTATAAGGGTGAAGATCCCAAGAGGAAACCTGTTGCAAAAAACGAGAGACGAGACCACTAACCTAACCTTTTCAGGGTCTAGTGGTTGTGACGCTCAGTATGGGTTCGTAGACGAACTTGAGTCTTGAAGCCCAAAGAAAAGGTCTTCTAGGCATGATGTATGAGGGGGGGGATCCTCGTTTGCCAACTGGACTCTTGTCACTTCCTCCATTGGACTCGCAGTGTTGTTCCGCACCGTGCTAAAGACCCGCATTTTTGTCATCAGATGTTGGGCCAGGGTCAGATATGCCCTGTTCCTTGCTTAGGCACAAACGGCATATGAGGGCAGCCCGATGTCAGTGCTTGCTCAGACCGTTGAACTTGTCATGTGCGCGGAGCACGTGCCGCATCCTAAACCCTAAACCCTAAACCCTAAACCCGAAACCCTAAACCCTAAACCCTAAACCCGCAACGCAGACAATACATTCGGAGGCATGCTGAGGGGAGGCCGTTTCTTCCGAAAGCCCAAACTGCCCACATCTTTCGCTGCTGGCGTTGTAGGAATCACCCAAGGAGGCCCTGTGCCCTGCCAGGCCCGACGTATCTGATTTCATGCACGATGGGGTTTAGGGCGGGTTTAGGGTTTGGGGTTTAGGGTTTAGGGTTTAGGGTTTAGCCCGGCTTGCGAAGGAATTGTGGGCCAGCCACGGAGGACTGCCTCATGCCAAGCGCGAACTTCTCTCAGGGCATCCAGGCGCATCCGAGTGGGGCCCCTAAACCCTAAACCCTAAACCCTAACCCCTAAACCCTAACCAGTGAAAGGTTCGAAGCAGGACGCCGGCGGTTCTCTGAATTCGGATCCCTTTTGGCCTTTTGGAATGCCCTTTTTTAACGGGTGCCGCCTTAGAATGTGTACGAAAAAGGGAGCCTAGTGTAGGAAACTACCCGGATACAGGTTCTGAGATTCCCTACTTCCTACCAGCAAAGTCTCCAGGACTTTGGCAAGGTGGGCGGAAGTTCTCATCCGGAACTCGATGGTGAAACTCCAAGCCCACACAAGCCCATGTTTCTCGTTTTAGGGTTTAGGGTTTTTAGGGTTTTAGGTTTAGGGTTGTGTGTAGTTCCGGCGAGCCTGCCGGCCGTCGCAAGAGCTGTCTCGTAAATCATCCGTCGTTGTCAGGCGGCGAATCTGCGGTTGCTGGATCCAGTCGTGCTCAAGGCTGTGCCAGAAGGCGCGGGCAACGGGGCCGAGTCGTGGGGTTCGGGGATCTGCTGTCATTGAGCATCTTAGGTGCTGGGTGGGTAACCTTGAGCCTTTTGGGGTAGTACAAACCTCCTTAAGACCCAAAGGTGAAATCTCTTTTTCCCCGACAAGAACTCAGCACCTAAGACATGAAGATGTCGCTCAAAGCGGAACTGCAAGCAGAGACCACCGTCCGAATCCGAAGAGACCCTACATAGGGTTTCATGCGCCGACTCTAGCGGTTCTACCTCATACTTAGGACACTTTACGGTGCTCTAACCGCTAGCACCTCCCAATTTGTAGGTTTGGGGGTCGCAGGTAAACCCTAGGCCCCCTCCCCCCCCACCCCCCCAACTCCTCCAGGCCACAACCTGACCACTGAGCCAAGCTTTGCAGAGTGGGGGAGCCAAGGAAGTATTGCGCAGCATTCGATTGCAATCCCTGCTTGCATGTAATATCCGGAAGTGTCACAAGCCTTTTTGGCTGAAGCAACATGGAAGGAACTAGGTACTGTGCTTTGGGCCTACGTTAAAAAGGCGTGAAGGCTCCCAGCAATGGGAAATCAGACATGTTCCGGAGCCCCCTCTCCAGAGGAATGGGTGCACGAGATTCTCTTCCCGATGTACGTGCTGAAGGTTTCGGATTTCTTGCAGATGAGTGGCCGTCCGAAAGCACACTCTTTTCTGAAGGACATGTTGCACGTGTGGAAGCCAGGAATGTTTGTCATCTTTGTGTCCCACCAGTGGCTATCCAAAAAGCATCCAGACCCCAGCGGTTACCAGTCGGAGGTCTTGCGATCCGCGCTACAGGGGCTTACGGACGGATCTCTGCGATTGGCTCTGGACGGCCATTGGGTGTTCTTCGCGGACGAAAGGAAGACCACAAGCGAACTTCAATCGAGAATTCCGGAGGCTTACATTTGGTTGGATTGGTTTGCTATCCCACAGATTACCCACCGCGCGTCTGGCGTCAATGAAGACGTGACCAAGACGGAGGCTGCAAAGGCTATTCAGAGTATTCCTGGATACGTCGAGAGGTGCAATCTCTTCATGATCCTTACTCCAGAACTTTTTCATGAGGACACTGGGATGCTTTGCAATACTAGATCTTGGCAGTCACGCGGATGGTGCATGGCTGAATTGCTATGTCACCAATTGTCCAACAAAAAGGATGCCACAATCATCACCCTTCGTTCCGCCAGGCATGCAGAACTTAACGTTTGGCAAATTGAGTGGGACGCATTGTGGGAAAGCCAATTCACCGTTGAAGAGGACAGGCTCGTGGTGTTGGACTTTGTCAGAAAAATGGTTGAAAGCAAGATTCGTCACGAGAGGGAGCGCGGTTTCTTATCGCTGTCTCGCTATCTGACGGCCGGGCAGTTCAAACTGGGCGGAAGCAAAGCCAAGGCAGAGGATGCGGATGAGTTCCTCACACAGTTTCAGTTTTACAGCATCCAAGAGTCTGCCCATGACAGAAGCTCAATGCCAGGCTTGCTCTGCGCAGTTCTATCCGGTGATGTCAGCATGATTCGAAGCTTGGTGAAGAGCCTGGCAGACGTGAACCTCCGGTGCCACGGGCTTGAGGAGATGTTTCGCCAGCCCGACAACCACACACCTTTGATGGTGGCGTGCAGGTCCAAGCAAGCGCCAGAGGTGCTGTCCACACTCATTCAGCTCCAGGCGGATGTGAACGCATGTTGCCCCTTTGGTTTGACTGTACTGAATTGGGCACAAACACCATGGCAAGTGAGGGTGCTGGTCTCTGCGAAGGCAGACTTGGAAAGCCTGAACCGAGTTGGGAATGGTCCACTAGCGAACGTGTGTGGCTTTGCGGATGCCGAAACGGTGGCCGAAATGATAGCTTGCGGTTGTGAGGTACATCCGTCTGTCCAGTCTTTCTACCCCTTGCACTGCTTGGTATCCACATCGCGCTGCCAGTCAGTCGAGAAAGCCAAAATGCTCATTGCCCACAAAGCTGATGTCAACGTTCGGGCTTCCACAACGGGGACGGGCATGTTTGCGTGCGTATGTTACTGTTCTCAGATGGCCTCCTACATGTCAGATTTTGCTTCACTCTCTGCGGCAACCAAACTATTCGGAAGCCTAGAAGGTATAACTCCACTGGGCATGGCCGCATTTTTTGGTGATCATGCGTTGACTCGTTGTTTGCTGGACGCAGACGCTGACCCACGCATGTCCAATGCGCGAGGGGATCTTCCAATCAACATCGCGACGGCCCTGGGGCACGAAGCAGTGGCTGCCGAGCTCTTGAACGCCTGAGGCATGGACGATGTGAAGACTTCATGCTTTGCACAGCTTCCAGTTTATGTATACAGTTTTAATCTCCCAGTCGTGGTGACCCGGTCGTTCTTGAAGAAGGGCCTTCGCGCCACGTCAAATTCCAGTTTCCCACAGGCTCCGCCTGCGCCGGACAAAGTCACGTTTGACAGGTGGCCATCAGCCCCTAAACCCCAAAGCCTAAACCCTAACCCTAAACTGAATCCTCGGCCCCCCCCCCAAAAAAAAGTAATAATATATACATATGTATATATATATATAATAATAATATAATAAAATAAAGCTACCAGTAACTATTCTAAGTATTTCGAGTTCTATAGCCCTAACGCCTGAACCCTCAACCCTAAACCCGAAACCCGAAACCCTAAACCCTAAACCCTAAACCCTAAACCCTAAACCCTAAACCCTAAACCCTAAACCCTAAACCCTAAACCCTTAACCCTATTCTATTTCTTGAGGCCCCTATAGTACCCACATTCGCCAGGTCACCCCAGCCTCGCACACCAAGCCATGCTACGAAATACGAGTGCGGAAGCTAGGGACAGCTAGAAAAGGCTAGGAAAAAATAGAAACAAAGCTGGAAAAAAGCCAGATTTCCTGCCGTTTTTTTTTGGGGAAAGGTTCGGGGGCCTCTCAACCCCAGCCTCGGGTTTGGGGGGGGGGGGGGGGGTTTGGCTAGCGGCTACTCGCAAAGAAGACGCTTGCTGGTTGTTTTCCTCCTCCAGAGCTTGGCGACAGCACATTGCCAATTCAGAGCTTTGACCCTCAGCTCCACACCCATCAACCCTGCAGCTTTCCAAAGGTTTAGGACTTAGGGTTTAGGGTTTAGGGTTTACGGTTTAGGGATTTCAGCGGAGGAACCATCTAGCTCCCTTACTGGTGTTGTGCTAGGCCAAAGAGGCACCTCAGCATGGAGGTACCTTAAGCGCCTCTTTAGGGTTTAGGGTTTAGGGTTTAGGGTTTAGGGTTTAGGGTTTAGGGTTTAGGGTTTAGGGTTAGGGTTGAGGGTTTTAGGGTTTAGGGTTTAGGGCTACATGTTGCCGCCTGTGGCTTGCTGCACTGCTCTGTCCGGACGGCCATCTCCACTTCGAAAAACCTGACGGATGGAACCATGTTTCGGGATGTAGGATTTGGTGTCGGGTTTAGGGTTTATGGGGCTATGTAAGTTAGAGCGAGAAGGCATAAGGCAAGGGGGCGTGCGGTTTCTGGTTTAGGGATTTGGGTGCATTTATGGCCAGGACATCAAAGCAATTATACCCTGCACTAGCTGCTGTGCTTTGGGCCTACGTTAAGAATACGTGAAGGCTCCCAGCAATGGGAAATCAGATGTGTGGCGGAGATCCCGTTGTGGAGGAAAGGGTGCACGAGATTCTCTTCCCGATGTACGTGCTGAAGGTTTCGGATTTCTTGCAGATGAGTGGCCGTCCGAAATCACATTCTTTTCTGAAGGACATGTTGCACGAGTGGAAGCCAGGAATGTTTGTCATCTTTGTCTCGCACCAGTGGCTCTCAATAATGCATCCAGACCCCAACGGCTACCAGTTGGATGTCTTGAGAGCCGCGCTGCAGGGGCTCATGGACGGATCTCTGCGATTGTCTCTGGATGGCCAGTGGGTTTTCTTCGTAGATGAAAGTAAGACCTCAAGCGAACTTCAATCGAGAATTCCGGAGGCTTACATTTGGTTGGATTGGTTTGCTATCCCACAGATTACCCACGGCATGTCTGGCGTCGATGAAGACTTGACGAAGTCGAAGGCTGCAAAGGCTATTCAGAGTATTCCTGGATACGTCGAGAGGTGCAATCTCTTGATGGTCCTTACTCCAGAACTTTTTCATGAGGACACTGGGATGCTTTGCAATACTAGGTCTTGGCAGTCGCGCGGATGGTGCATGGCTGAATTGCTATGTCACCAATTGTCCGACAAAAAAGATGCCAGAATCATTACCCTTCGTTCCGCAAGGCACGCAGAACTTAACGTTTGGCAGATTGATTGGGATGCATTGTGGCAAAGCGAATTCACTGTTGAGGAGGACAGGCTCGTGGTGTTGGACTTTGTCAGAAAAATGGTTGAAAGCAAGATTCGTCACGAGAGGGAGCGCGGTTTCTTATCGCTGTCTCGCTATCTGACGGCCGGGCAGTTCAAACTGGGCGGAAGCAAAGCCAAGGCAGAGGATGTGGATGAGTTCCTCACACAGTTTCATTTTTGTAGCATCCAAGAGTCTGCCCATGACAGAAGCTCAATGCCAGGCTTGCTGTGCGCAGTTCTATCCGGTGATGTCAGCATGATTCGAAGCTTGGTGAAAGGCATGGCAGACGTGAACCTCCGGTGCCACGGGCTTGAGGAGATGTTTCGCCAGCCCGACAACCACACACCTTTGATGGTGGCGTGCAGGTCCAAGCAAGCGCCAGAGGTGCTGTCCACACTCATCCAGCTCCAGGCGGATGTGAACGCATGTTGCCCCTTTGGCTTGACTGTGCTGAATTGGGTACAAACACCAGGGCAAGTGAAGGTGCTGGTCTCTGCGAAAGCAGACTTGGAAAGCCTGAACCGAGTCGGCAATGGTCCACTAGCGAATGTGTGTGGCTATGCGGATGCCGAAACGGTGGCCGAAATGATAGCTTGCGGGTGTGAGGTACATCCGTCTGTCCAGTCTTTCTACCCCTTGCACTGCTTGCTATCCACATCACGCTACCAGTCAGTCGAGAAAGCCAAGATGCTTATTGCCCACAGAGCTGATGTTAACATTCGGGTTTCCACAGCAGGGACGGGCATATTTGCGTGCGTGTGTTTCTGTTCTCGGATGGTCTCCTACATGTCAGATTTTGCATCACTCTCTGCGGCAACCAAGTTGTTCGGAAGCCTAGAAGGTATTACTCCACTGGGCATGGCCGCGTTCTTTGGTGATCATGCTTTGACTCGTTGTTTGCTGGACGCAGACGCTGACCCATGCATGTCCAATGCCCGCGGGGACCTTCCAATCAACATTGCGACGGCCCTAGGGCACGAAGCAGTGGCTTCCCAGCTCTTGAGCGTCTGAAGAGTGGACGGTGTAAAGACTCCATGTCGTGCAGCGTTTCTACTCTATGTACAGGTTTTAGTTCCAAGTCGTGGTGACCCAGTCGTTGCGAAGTCTTTAAAGCAGCCATGGAATCACGTCAAATTCATGTTTCCGAGGCTCCAAGACCACCTGCGCCCGACAAAGTGGCGTTTGACAGGTGATCCGGCCGGAAAAAACTGAAACGTCAGGGGCAACTCTATATCCCCCTTGGGAATTGTTTTTTGTTCATATAAAGCCCAAGAGGATTTTGAAAATAGTATTTTTTAAAGGTTCTAAGGGGAGTATAGAACTGAGGAACTGACGCCCTCGAGTCGTTGTCATGGTTGGGTTGATTATTGCTGCATGACGTGCGGCTTGCTGCAATGCTCCGTCCGCTGTCTCCACTTGAGAACTGACGGATGGACCAGCCGTTTTTGGGCTTCTCGGATTTGGGGTCGGATTTGGGGATTAAAGGGCTTTGAGCGGTGTAAGTTTGAGCGAGAAGGCATAAGGAAAGGGGAAGGGGTTTATGGCCAGGACATCAAAGCAAACATGCAACGCACTAGCTGCTGTGCTTAAAAAATACGTCAAGAAGACGTGAAGCCAGCAATGGGAAATCAGATATGTGGCGGAGTTCTCGCTCCGGAGGAATGGGTACACGAGATGCTCTTCCCGATGTACGTGCTGAAGGTTTCGGATTTCTTGCAGATGAGTGGCCGTCCGAAATCACATTCTTTTCTGAAGGACATGTTGCACGAGTGGAAGCCAGGAATGTTTGTCATCTTTGTCTCGCACCAGTGGCTCTCCAACAAGCATCCAGACCCCAACGGCTACCAGTTGGATGTCTTGAGAGCCGCGCTACAGGGGCTCATGGACGGATCTCTGCGATTGGCTCTGGATGGTCAGTGGGTCTTCTTCGTGGATGAAAGTAAGACCTCAAGCGAACTTCAATCGAGAATTCCGGAGGCTTACATTTGGTTGGATTGGTTTGCTATCCCACAGATTACCCACGGCATGTCTGGCGTCGATGAAGACTTGACGAAGTCGAAGGCTGCAAAGGCTATTCAGAGTATTCCTGGATACGTCGAGAGGTGCAATCTCTTGATGGTCCTTACTCCAGAACTTTTTCATGAGGACACTGGGATGCTTTGCAATACTAGGTCTTGGCAGTCGCGCGGATGGTGCATGGCTGAATTGCTATGTCACCAATTGTCCAAGAAAAAGGACGCCACAATCATTACCCTTCGTTCCGCAAGGCACGCAGAACTTAACGTTTGGCAGATTGATTGGGATGCATTGTGGCAAAGCCAATTCACCGTTGAGGAGGACAGGCTCGTGGTGTTGGACTTCGTCAGAAAAATGGTTGAAAGCAAGATTCGTCACGCGAGGGAGCGCGGTTTATTATCACTATCTCGCTATCTGACGGCCGGGCAGTTCAAACTGGGCGGAAGCAAAGCCAAGGCAGAGGATGCGGATGAGTTCCTCACACAGTTTCATTTTTGTAGCATCCAAGAGTCTGCCCATGACAGAAGCTCAATGCCAGGCTTGCTGTGCGCAGTTCTATCCGGTGATGTCAGCATGATTCGAAGCTTGGTGAAAAGCATGGCAGACGTTAACCTCCGGTGCCACGGGCTTGAGGAGATGTTTCGCCAGCCCGACAACCACACACCTTTGATGGTGGCGTGCAGGTCCAAGCAAGCGCCAGAGGTGCTGTCCACACTCATCCAGCTCCAGGCGGATGTGAACGCATGTTGCCCCTTTGGCGTGACTGTGCTGAACTGGGTACAAACACCAGGGCAAGTGAAGGTGCTGGTCTCTGCGAAAGCAGACTTGGAAAGCCTGAACCGAGTCGGGAATGGTCCACTAGCGAACGTGAGTTGCTATGCCGATGCCAAAACGGTGGCCGAAATGATAGCTTGCGGTTGCCAGGTACATCCGTCTGTCCAGTCTTTCTACCCTTTGCACTGCCTGCTATGTGCCTCGCGCTACCAGTCAGTCGAGAAAGCCAAGATGCTTATTGCCCACAGAGCTGATGTTAACGTTCGGGCCTCTGCAGCAGGGACGGGCATTTTTGCGTGCGTATGTTACTGTTCTCAGATGGCCTCCTACATGTCAGATTTTGCTTCACTCTCTGCGGCAACCAAACTATTCGGAAGCCTAGAAGGTATTACTCCACTTGGCATGGCTGCGTTCTTTGGTGATCACGCGTTGACACGTTGTTTGCTGGACGCAGACGCTGACCCATCCATGTCCAATGACCGAGGGGACCTTCCAATCAACATTGCGATGGCCCTAGGGCACGAAGCAGTGGCTGCCGAGCTCTTGAGCGTTTGAAGAGTGGACGGTGTAAAGACTCCATGTCGTGCATCGTTTCTACTTTATGTACAGGTTTTAGTCTCCAAGTCGTGGTGACCCAGTCGTTGCGAGCTCTTTAATGTAGCCATGGAATCACGACAAATTCAAGTTTCCGTGGCTCTAAGGCCACCTGCGCCGGACAAAGTCGCGTTTGCCAGGTGACCATCACGCCCTCAGAAAAAGAATTGAAACGTCAGGGACTGCTGATGCCCAAAGGTCGTTGCAATGGTCAGATTCTGTGTCGATGGCCACCAATTGCTGCTACATGTTGCTACGTTGTGGCGGGGGGGCAAGGGCGGAAGCGAGCGGCTTGCTGCCCCCACGGACTCTGTCTGCACCACCAGCCCCACTTGAGAATTGACGAATGAAATCGCTACGTGTGTGGCGTGCTGTCAAGTGGCACAGGCATGTTTGACCTGCAAGAGCCCAAGGGACAATCATCAGCCCCCCCCCCCCCCTCCAACCATTTGGCCAGAACACCAAATGGGCTCGATAATTCCCAGTTGTTGGCGAAGGCTTGGGTGGGCAATTAAAGCAGAGCGTTCTGGGTTCTGGGATGGCGCGTTGAGAATGGCCTGGCGTTGTGCTAATGAACATGCGAGCCCCGACTCCTTTTTGCAGCAAGTTTGAGCTCTAGTAGGGAGTGAGTTTTTCCTAGGCCCTAAGCCGGAAACCCCCCCGTAACCTGTAGTCCCGTGAGCTTGGAGCCTTTGCGGATGAGGTCCGAAAGAGCATTTGCCTCGACCTGGGCACTGGCGATGAAAGGAGCACAGCTCTCAGAAAGTGTTGCGCCCCTCAGAACGAGAGCCCTGCAAATGAACATGTAAAAATACAGATTTGTTTAATTATTTTGTTCATGTATATTACATGTCTTTTTATATTTATATATAAAATAAGTGTATTCACAGATCACATCATGCAATGCGGCTGAGGACAGCCCTCCAACCCTGATCCCCTCACTCCACCCCAAAGCGCCCTAAACCCTAAACCCTGAACCCTAAACCCTAAACCCTATAATAGGTTCCTTCCGGCAAGCCTTCTCCGCCTCGGCCCTGGCCCCCGGTGGCGCGCCTGGCTCAGATGAGCCGCCTTTGGTCAGTGACCCTTGGGACGCAGTTTAGGGGTTTAGGGGTTTAGGGTTTAGCGTTTAGGGTTTAGGATTAGGGTTTAGGGTTTAGGGTTGAATATCACCCAAAAGGGTATACTCCCCATTATAGGAACCCTAAAAGGGTATATACCCCTAATTATATTCTGTACCCCCCAAACAAGCGTTCTGAAGAGTTTCTCTCCAGCGTGTTGTTTCCGCCAAAAGGGCCGCTTCTCGGGCCCACAGAGCTTTCTGCTTCCGTGATCCAACTGATCATAGGTGATTTCGGGGGACTGGGCGTTTCGTGCATATGGGCTTGCAGGTGTGGGGGGGTTGAGAAGTGGCCCGGGAGCCGCGCTGACAGTGGAACATTAGGATTTAGGGTTTAGGGTTTAGGGCTAGCGGGCTGCAGATTTCAATGTCGCACGAGCTGAGCACTGCAAACCGGGCGAGAAATCTTTGGTGAAGCCTGCCGTCAAGGGTAATGTGGCTGTGGCGGAGCAGACTATAGCGCATCAGGCTGATGAGGTATCGTGCGCATGTGGGCAGTATGATCAGAACCTCTCTTTCAGGGTACACAGGGACTCCTGAAATTCACGGGGATTCAATGCACCGAGGCTTTCGGAAGAGCCTGCCGTGCAGCAGCTAGCTGTGGAACCCGTGTACTTCCAGGCACCGTGAGAGAGTCCCCTTTTGCAGTTTACTTAGGGGACTGGGTAGGTTACCTTGAACCCTTTTGGTGATATAGAATCCTACTATATAAATTGAAGGTCAACCTTTTTTGGGCTAGGGTATTCAGCTCCTGTTTGGTTTGGGCGGCCGAAGGCTGGAGGAGGGATGCATGTGCGTCCGAAGGTGACGTGAGGCAGTTTCAGGGCCAGCAATCACAAAGCTGCATACTCAGCACGAGGGTTGTTGATGCTTGCATGCAGTCTCTGCGCGCGAGCCAGGGATGTGCCAGTAAACCCTAAACCCTAAACCCATCTAAACCCTAAACCCTAAACCCGAACCCTAAACCCTAAACCGCGTAATTACGCATGATGAGCATCTTGCCCGCGGAAGGCCTGCTCCAGTCACCTGGCCAAGCACGAGCTCAACTCTTTGGAAAGGCTTTTCGTGTGTGCGCATTTTTTGCGGGTTTAGGGTTCAGGGTTTATAGCGTTTAGGGTTTAGGGTTTAGGGTTTAGGGTTTATAGCGTTTAGGGTTTAGGGTGGAATGCTTGCGATCAATCTGTCTGAAAGATTCTGAAAAGGGCCATGCCTGAAGCCGTGTCAGCATGTCGACTAAATCACTGGGTTCACTGGATTTGCCAATTGTTGCAAGATGCTTGAAAATCCAAGGCTCGGATTGCGCTGGCGTGCGCGTCCTCGACAGAAAGTGCGTCTGCCGCCCCACGGAGAGCGTGTCGTAAGACAGACACCCGCGCAAGCAGCAGATCATGGGGGAGGTCAAGGCGCCAGCCACAAGCTGGACGACGTCAGCAGAGGTTTGGTTACAAGGAGATCCGGCTGGGGACTCGCTGCGCAATGCCACTCAGGGCCTGGCAGGGTCCCAGCACTTGTTCCAGTCCAGACGAATGAGCCGCATGAGATGAATCGCGAGCCATCTTGCGAGCTTCTTACAGTTTGTAGTGGCTGGAAGCTCGTCGCCCTTCTGGCATTGCTTGCAGCATAAAAAAAGGCCTGCAAGACTTGAGTCCCTAGAATGCAAACCAGTCCCAACTTTTCGGGCTCTGCTCCGCTAAACCCTACAGCCTTGCTCTTGCACCCTGGACGCCCGCTGAGCAAACAGTTGCGCACCTGCGACAGGGAAATTCTGCATTTCTACATTCTTGCGTTCGGCTCCCCGAAGAGTTTGAAACTTAGAACCCTCTCAGCACTGGTCGACGCTGCACGAGAATAAGGCAGCTTCAAGCGCTCTAGAACTCATACGAAGACTAGAAAACTAGATATAGCTAAACTATACATATATATATATATCTCATATGTATACATATACAAAAACATAATTAAAGATCTGAGCCAGCCCAGCATTTTCAAGAGGCATGGTTTGGGGTTCAAGGCTTTTCCTGTTTCCTGCTTGGGGGTACTATGAACCCTTCAACACCTAAAGCCCTGCACCTTAAAAACTAGTGTATGCAAGTGCTTGCCGGGGGGGGGGGGGGGGGGGGGGGGGACAAAACTCTGAAAGCCCCCAGTTGCATGCTTAAGGGGCTTATACAGGCACAGGAATGATCATCCTGATCGTTCAGATATTTTTGGATCTGAGAATCACAAAGATCATACGGAAGAAGTGCGATTCACAGCAACAACACTTAGGGGTTACAGGGTTTGGTGGCTCGAAGATCTTGGTCATTCCTGGCGACATGCCAGGTATGGATGTTCCCACTGCTGCGCTGTGCAGCCCTGCTTCTGCTTTGGGTGACTGCTTGCAGTGCCTCTTGGGGCGCAAGGCTTCCGGCTGTAGGGTTTACAGGGTTTAGATTCAGGGTTTCGGGCTTAGAGTCGGCCTTTGGTACCTCTTTCCTGGTTGAGTCGCTGCAGACCAGAGGCAAAAGGGTTTAGAGTTTACAGGGTTCAAAGGCTTGGCAGATTGCAGGAAGGATCCAAAAGACCTCTATGACTCTATGCGAGTTCTGTTGAGAAGTATCGTTGTATGTATGCACGTATGTATGTCTAGAAGAACTGTGTATTACATCGACGCTATCATGTATTAGCATGATGAAAAACTTCAATCGGATGTTTATGTATATATGTACTTTTATGTGCGCATGTACATGTTATGTTGCATCCGTATTTGTATTGCTCTTGATAAACCATATGTACGATTCCAAGGGCATGTGCTGTCCGGCAAATCCTAGAAACTGGGCCTGTTGTACTAGTTCTGAGTTGGGAAATAGAGAACTACAGGATTAGGAACCATTCAGGTACCTTGCGTCCCCCTATATAACCGTCGGTGCCTTTAAGTCAAGTGGCAAACGAATTTCCGAAATCCTAGAGTAAAGCCCACAAAGTCGAAACGCCAAGCCGCGTGCTAAAGCCGAAAACCTAAACCCCCGAAACCCTAAATCCCGGGTGCTAGGCAGGTCGCAATCAAACCCTAACCCTAAGAGAACAAAACCAACACCCCAAAGCCGAAACCCAAAACCCCCCAAAAGCCTAAACGCCCCAAGCCCTATAGACCCTAAACCCTCAACCCCTAAACCCTACACCCCCTAAGCCCTAAGCCCCCCAAACCCTAAACCCCCTAAATCTCAAACCCTAAGCCCTAAACCCGAGACCCTAAACCCTAAACCCTAAACCCTAAACCCTAAACCCTAAACCCTAAACCCTAAACCCTAAACCCTAAACCCTACACCCTACACCCTACACCCTACACCCTACACCCTACACCCTACACCCTAAACCCTAAACCCTAAACCCTAAACCCTAAACCCTAAACCCTAAAATCTCACCCCCAAGAGCCAGCACAGGAGTTTGTCGGTGAAGTTCGCCTCGACCTGGAAGTGAACAGCCGCTGCACGGGCTCCCCCGTCGTGGCCATACAGCAGCTTGGCCTTAAGGTTCAGGGTTTAGGGTTTAGGGTTTCTAGGGTTTAGGGTTTCGGGTTTCGGGTTTCGGGTTTGTAGGGTTTGTAGCGTTTGTTTTAGGGTTTAGGGTTTAGGGTTTGTAGGGTTGAGGGGTTAGGGTTTAGGGTTAGGGGCTGGGTTCAAAAAAGGGCTTGTTGGGCTTAAAGGGTGTTTTAGGCAAAAGGGTTTTGCCGTCGCCGTCTTGCGGGCGCAGCGGCCGAGAATCCTTGCAAGCCACCTCACTCCAAGTGGTAGCATCGGTGGCGCATCCCGCGCCGCGCGCTGATCTTCCACCTTGTGCAAGAGCCCATCGAAGTGGGGAGTGTTGCATGACCCACCCACTGTGAAGGGTTTAGGGTTTAGGGTTTAGGGTTTAGGGTTTAGGGTTTAGGGTTTAGGGTTTAGGGTTTAGGGTTTAGGGTTTAGGGTTTAGCATTATGTTTAGGGCCGCGCTCTTGAATTTCCCACCTGTAACCTTCGTTTCCATGGTCCCTTGCCCCACCCGGCCCAGAAAGTGCGGTATTCGAGCGCCCTCCATCGGCTCCACCCATTTGTTGAGCCCGGTTCGGGCATCGGTGTCAGTGCTTAGGTTAAATGGAGTTCTTGGGATGTTACCCCTGATGCTATCAGTTCTTAATTGGGATTATAAAAGGGGGTGCGATCATCCCTACTAAGGACTGTTATGGATAAGGCGCAGCATCCCAATGTAGATCTGACAATCCAAAACGTAGCAAAAAAAGACCTACACGGAGTCTCTACCAAGGCAAGCATGGCGCTTGGTGGGTGGCACAAGGTCCCGCAAAAGGCTTGCCCTTAGAGATCCTGAATCTCACCCCCTAAAGCCTCGAAGCCTTATCGCCGGAAGAGCACGAAAAGCAGCCCTCAGCCATCAAGCCATCTCAAACACCACAGAATCAGAGAGAGAGAGAGAGACAAGAACCCTAAAGCCCTAAATAAAACCCGAAACCCTAAACCCTAAACCCTAAATTCCTAAAAAACCCCTAAACCCTAAAAGCCCCTAAGCCCACACAGGCACCCTGGCTGCGAGCCCTCGCCCTGGTTCCCGGCCGTGGTCTTGCAGGGCGACCCTGTGTCCGGGAATGCCACGGTGGACACTCGGTTTTGAGAGGGGTTTTGCTGGTTCGGGTTTTAGGGGTTTAGGGTTTTAGGGGGTTTAGGGTTTAGGGTTCCTATTTCCGGGAGGGGGGAACAAGCTGGGGACTCAGGGCTGCCAGTGGTTGAGGTGCTTGTGGGGGTGTTGGGTCAAACGTTCGCAACGCCACTAAATGCTTTCTGCTTCGCGCCTGCAAGGGGGAGACATGAGTCCCTGTATGAATAACTCAATATGTAAGAACGCCAACTCAAAACCCTAAGCCCTAAACCCTAAACCCTAAGCCCTAAGCCCTAAGCCCTAAACCCTAAACCCTAAACCCTAAACCCTAAACCCAAAGGAAAGGAGTGTGGCCCAAAAAATCATGCCACGAAGCCGAGGTTTACGGCTGGAGCTCCGACCAGCAGGATGCAGATCCTCTTTTGCCTTCTAGGGGTTTAGGGTTTAGGGTTTAGGGTTTAGGGTTTAGGGTTGGAGGTAGCAGGGCGGCCTCTTGCACGGCCCGTAAGTCAGAAAGTTTCGGGTGGCCCCTAAACTCTACAAACCCTAGAATTGCCGAGAAGTAGAATCTACTACACCCCCGGAAAACCCACGCTTCTTGTGAAGGCGAGTTCCTTGGCCCTTTCCGGTCGAGACACTGCGAGTTCATTGGTAGAGCTTAGGTTGTTAGAACAGACTCCAGTGCATGGGCTGTGCATTCATACTTTCGATCGTCTCGGGGCCGCTTGTGCAATTCTGGGTTTTCTCGGGAAGGCTCTGCCCGCAGTTGCCGCCCTTGAAAAATAAGCATCCAAATAAGAAGAATAGCGTAAGAGAAAAGCCAAACAGATTATTATTGTATAATTCGGGGAATTTGTTCGAAGAGTTTGGGCTCAGCCCGCGCGCACCTGTGGAGGAGGCCTGGTCGCGTGCAACCTTGGCTGCTCAACTGTCTCTAGAGTGTTTAAGGTTCAGGGTTTAGGGGAGGGGGATCGGGAATCTGCTACGCACCATCGGCTGTCCTCCTACCTTAGGCGAACTTGGAAACAACCCTTAGTTGTTGCCTACTTGAGAATCCCTAAGGAACAGCTAAACGTAGATTTGTTTGCAAGGGTACTAAACCCCTAAACCCCTAAACCCCTAAACCCCGAAACCCCGAAACCCCTAAACCCCTAAACCCCCCAGTTCAGTATAGCTGCCTTGCATCTTCAAGTCGATTTCTTGGGCGAGACGCGTCGTTCTCTCAGGTGCCATTGGCTGGAGCCACGGCCTACGATTGCTTGCAGGAGGCCACCCCCCGGTTCGTAGCATTTATACTGTAGATCAGATTGCTTTAGGGTTTAGGGTTTAGGGTTTAGGGTTTAGGGTTTAGGGTTTAGGGTTTAGGGAGGGTCAGGGCTCTAGGGTTTAGGGTTTAGGGTGTAGGAGATCAGATGATCTAAGCCCCCACGCCTGCCTCGACAGAACAAGAAATTCAAAAAACCCACCGGTGCACATCCCGGCAGAAAGGTGTGGGATTCAAGTCGTGTTCATCATCGTGTACAAACTGTCCACTTGGTTTTTGAGCGCGAGACTACATAGTTGCTTAAGAACTCCGAAAAAATATTCCTCCTTATTAAGGGTAATATAGGGATTGTTTTTTGTTGTTCCTTTGGGGTTCTTAAGCAAATAGTAAAAAAAGGAAGCTCAGATACCCGCCTCCCAATTGCAGGCCTGAACGGCCAAAACCCCTTGTGCGTGTTTTTGTGCGGGCCGTGGCGTGCGTAACCGTTTTTTTCCTGAGCGCGCGACTTTCAAAGCCATACGAGCAAAGAGAGAACGTCGGCCCTCAAGCCCCAGGAAAGAAAGAAAAGAGAGAAATAAGATGAACAGGAAGAAGAACAAGAGAGTCAGGACGCCACTGGACCAGCGCTCTGAGGTTGCGCAAGCAGAAGAAGACGAGGGGGATAGAGAGCGAGAAAGAGAGAGAGAGAGAGAGAGAGAGACAGAGAGACAGAGAGACAGAGAGACAGAGAAAGAGGGAGAGAGAGAGAGAGAGAAAGAGACAGAGAGAGAGAGAGAGAGGGAGAAAGAGAGAGAGAGGGCTGGGGGACTTGTGCACGTGCCAGTGGCGTGTGCCTTGCAGTATGCCTCCTGTCAAGCTGTGCAGCAGGAGCAGGCTTCTTCAATCCCAATGGCCCACATCCTTGCAGCTAATATTTGTTATTGTAGAAGCATGATAATCCTAAACCCAAAACCCTAAACCACGCCTTTGCAGACCCTGCGCGCTCCTTCGTCAGGAGTGGCAGCCAGGCGGCGACCGCGGGCGCGGCTACGAGTTTCGACCCAGCTGTGAGGCTTATCCCTGCGCGCCGCAGCGGCATTTGCTTGTCCAGCTTGTCTGGTTTTAGAGTTGAGGCTTTGGGTTAAGGGTTTAGGGTTCAGGGTTTAGGGTAGTTTAGGTTTTAGGGTTTATAGGGTTTAAGGTTGAGGGTTGAGGGTTTCAAGCCATTTTGCTACGATGTGGGCACTTGGATCCTTCGGTAACTTCCATCTTTTGTCCGTGCCGGGGTGGCTGTGGCCGGTCAGCTGCTCTCATGCCTGGGGATATGAAATATGTCCGGCAACGAATGGCCGGAAACCCTAAACCCTAAACCCTAAAACCTTGTCTCAGTGGAAGGCAGGGCGGGAATAGAAGAGTGGGGATGCCTAGAACATGCAGGTCCAGCAGCTTATGAAGCTCCCAACTCACTCACTGGTGATCACATCCTCCGTGCGGATTGCGTTGGAATGCCCAGTACCCGACCTTTATTCCCTTTTTTAGGGGGTTTTGGTTCCCTTATAAACGCCTACTTGGAGGTTCATGTTACTTGTGAACCAATTATAGCTGAACTTAGAACTGTACTTATAACTGTGCTTATAACCATACTAAGGCACTCAAGGGCTTATAAGTGGGTTATAGGTGCATTTATCACTGTTAAACAAATACCCTAAACCCTAAACCCTAAACCCTAAACCCTAAACCCTAAACCCTAAACCCTAAACCCACGGCAGCCCCTGGATCCTTATGCAAAAGGGTCTAGGGGCAGGGATGTTTTATGAAGGGTTTAGGGTTTAGGGTTTAGGGTCTAGGGCAGGGATGTTTGTATGAAGGGTTGGGATGTTTGTGGCCTGTACTTGGGACTCTGTTTACCTACAGTTTAGTAGTAGCTACCCTGAATAAGTAGGTAGAACGCCAAAACTGTAGGGAAAGAGGATCCCAGGTAGTAAACCCTAAACCCTAAACCCTAAACCCTAAACCCTAAACCCTAAGCCCTAAGCCCTAAGCCCTAAGCCCTAAGCCCTAAACCCTAAACCCTAACCCTAAACCCTAAACCGCAAACCGCATCAGGTCACGGGCTGCATTGTCTCCACCCCCGACGCCTGCGACGGCCGAAGTCGCCGCTCAGCGTACGGGATCCAGCCCTAGTTAGGGTTTAGGGTTTAGGGTTAGGGTTTGGGGTTTTGGGGTTTGGGGTTTTGGGGTTTTGGGTTTAGGGTTTTTGGGGTTTGGGGTTTAGGGTTTGGGCTTTGGGCTTTTTGGTTTTTGGTTTTTGGGGTTTGGGGTTTGGGTTTGAGCTGATGCTCAGAGTTCAAAACCAGTTAAAGAGCCTTGACCTGGGGATCCATTTGCCTACTACTTGGGGGGTCATACCCTGTAAATATATAAGAGTACAGGCTTGAACAAATCAGGGCAAAACGGATGTGGCCAGTACTGTCTTGGCTCAGCAGAAAGTCGATACTGTGGAGAGCGTTCGCAGAAGTGCTGCACCTTCGCGAACCCTTCGCGGTCTCTCATCAGCCCATAATTCTTTGTCACGCAAACCAGAACCTCAGACCTTTCAAGGACTATAGCGGGCCTGGCGCAAAGGCGGAACAGCCCCAGACCCCGATCGTTTGGGTTCAGGGTCTTGCGTTTCATGGCTCTGCTGCTACAGGCCTCGAGGAGGGCGAGATCTGCACCGTGCCCTGCGCGCAGGAAGGCAGCAGACTGCAACTGTCGCATGATCTCCCATAGTTTCAGAAACTGAGGGAAAGGATCCAAGGATTCAAGTCTTGCATGTAGATGTAGATGTCAATTCGAGGGAGCTGCGCGACAAATGCGGCATATACCCCTAAATGCTGTTTACGGGTCATCTGCAGGTCTGGTCAATCTCACCTGCGACGGCCTTGCCTGGCCCGAGCTCCGCCGTGCGCTCTGCACAGCCGTGGTCGTTTATTGCGACCCTCGACCTAGCGTTGGGATATTTATTCAGTGTTCTATTGGGCCCTAACCCCCAGAAAGCCCTAGAAGCAACCCCAGTCGGCATTTCAATTTTTTCAGGGCCGCGCAACCCCACCCTTATTCAACCGCGGAAGTGCGCCCTTTCAGGACGAGCTCAATGGCACTGCGCCCGACACTCCGTGTGAGAACCGCTCCTTTGAAAGCATTGCGCATTCCGATAACATCCCTGAACGCCGCACCCTAAACATGTATACAGGGCTGAAACAGGTGGCAAAAACACATAGGGCTGGAATAGGGTAGATTTAGATCAAGCATGCTTACCCCAAAGCCGTGGTTTCTAGGGCGTCGCAAGGTGTGGCCATGCTTGGATGGGCCAGGAGCTGCATTAGGTTCTCCGCATGAAGTTGCAGGTCAGGGTTGAGGATGCCCCCCTCAAACCCTAAACCCTAAACCCTAGACCCTAAACCCTAAACCGTAAACCTTTGAGGCGGCAGCACCACCTCCTCCACAACCCTGGCACAAGCAGATCGCCGCTTTCGGGGCTGCTCCGAGCCTCCCGCCTGCCCGGGAGTTTGGGGCTAAACCCTAAACCCTAAACCCTAAACCCTAAACCCTAAACCCTAAACCCTAAACCCTAAACCCTAAACCCTAAACCCTAAACCCTAAACCCTAAACCCTAAACCCTAAACCCTAAACCCTAAACCCTACACCCTACACCCTACACCCTACACCCTAAACCCTAAACCCTAAACCCTAAACCCTAAACCCTACACCCTAAACCATAAACCCTAAACCTCAGGATTTGGGACCAGGGTGTATTAACCGCAGGATCTGCAGTAGCACTGTTTCGGGTTGAGGGTCGGGTGGTTTAGGGTTTAGGGTCTAGGGTTTAGGGTTTAGGGTTTAGATTTCGATACTTCCGTGTTGCATGCCCTTTCATCACTCAGTGTACACACTGTTTCAACTCATACTGCTTGTTGACATTGTGCCGAGCGACTGGCTGCTGCGCGTCCAGCGCTTGGCGGTTGCTTCATAAGCCTCGGTGGTGCATGGGAATCTGGCTTGCCTTCAGTTAAACCCTAAACCCTAAACCCTAAATCCTCAGTGGCAAAAAAGGGCTTAGGGTTCATTGGGGCTTGCATCACCCTCGGGGGCAATCATGCAGAGGTAAGCCCGAAGGCCACAAAGGCCCACCAATGTTTATTTGTATTCCTGAACCCTGAACCTGAGCTTTTCCGATTAATTATGTCCTGGTTTAGGGCTTAAGCACAAGGGTTTTTTTGTTAAGGCTTAAGCTGGGTAATCCGAATTCCCAAAGTAAGGCTCAAGCTGGGTAATGCGAATTCCCAAAGCCTCCCTACAGTAGTTGGGCCAGCCACATGAACCCTCAAACCCCATTAAAGGCGCTGGAAAATTCACTTATAGCCCTCAAAGCCGGAGTAAACCCAACATCAGCCCTCGAACGAGGTTGGTGGAGCTTTCCCCTGGCGTGGCCGCAGCCTCAAGGGGCTTCTGAGACGTAATCGCCATTATCAGAACGCATCTTGAGGAGCATCATGGTCAGGATCAATCAAACCAAAGGAGCTTGACAAGATGCGAAAAGGGTTTAGAGTTTAGGGTTTGTCAGGGGAGGGAGCAGACAAATGTGCGGCACCGTGAGTTAGCACATTATTCGCGCCAGCTGGGAGTTGTCGCCCTGCACATGACTGGCGCCATGGAAAGACTCCTTTCAAAACCATCGCCATTAGCACTGCCATCATCACTACCATGTTGTATCGCTTCGAGTCTTACGATCACGACCCGTACTTTGACTAAGCTGAGTAACCCACATTTCTCCCTTAGAGGTATTACCCATAAAACTGTAGGTAAAGAGGGTCCCAGGCAATCCTTGTAATGGGAACCCCCAAAAGGGTACCATAAACCTTAACCCTAAACCCTAAACCCTAAACTATACCCCTATTTTCGGAAATCCCCAAATGAGCAAGCGCCAAACCCCCCAGCCATTCAAGTAAGTAAGGGGTGGACACGCATGCCCAAAACCCTGTAAAGCGATGGGAACACTTGAAAAGCGACACCGTTGGGTGAGCTAAAGCCTTGATTTTTTCCCCACAGCGACACCTGCAGATATCAAGCGCGGATGGTTGATACCAAAACCCTGTAAAACCACTTGGAAAGCGACACCCCTCAGGTTGCGTCCATTAGCACCACCCGCCGGTTTTGGCAATCGCTCAAATCACGCTCAGGTTGGCATGCCTGAGAACCGAATGGTGTCAGGGCCCCAGAGTTAACGAACCCCTCTCCATCCAGTTCATGCCCCCAAGGCCTTTGGTGGTTTAGGGTTTGGGGTTTGGGTTTAGAGTTTGGGGTTTAGGGTGTATAGGGTTTCGGGTTTAGGGTTTATAGGGTTTAGGGTTTGTAGGGTTTAGGGGTGGGGAGGTGGGAATGGGAGGCGGTTTTTCTTTTGGTTTTGGGGCTCCGTCTTCAAGGGTGCCTGTCAACATTTTGGGCATTTCACTCTTCGTTAGTGAGTCCCAGCCTTCTGATGCGAGGCAGTTTTGAGGGGATCTTGTCTGCACACCTCTTTACGGCCGAAGAAAACCCAAAAGGTCCCGGTTGTGACCTGTAGCCTTTTTCGACCACTAGTTACCTTCGAAGCCTTGCCTGCCATGCGCTCCCTAAGTCCTACAACCTCAACCCTGGGCCCTGCAAGCTTAACACCTTGGGCTTGTTGGAGTGCTTTGGAGCAAAACGGCGAGTTTGCGAGAAAAGGCCAGACGTGTCAGCCCAGGATTGGGATAGAGTTGGCAGGTTTGCTGAGGTGCTTTGGAGCAAAATGGCGCCAAGAAGCCAAAGATCTAGATCAAGACAGCGAGGCTGACCCAAAAAGCCTCAGAGGCTCCCGTTAACGGTTTAGGGTTTAGGGTTTAGGGTTTAGGGTTTAGGGTTTAGGGTTTAGGGTTTAGGGTTTAGGGTTTAGGGTTTAGGGTTTAGGGCCCTGAACCCCAGCGACCCAACAAAAGAATGTAGCTATGATCTGAGGCTTCAAAGACTTGCAAAGAACCATCGGAAGACCTCGGCCATGAATTTTCCATCCATGTAGGAAGGCCTTCGGGATATTGTGTATTTTCCCTTACTGGGTTTAAGAGGATCATGTTTAGGAAGATTTTTCAGAGGGCTTGAAGGCCATCCTAGTAAATTTCAACCAAGCCCGGCGCACCCCTAACCCTGAACCCTAAACCTAAACCCTAAACCCTGAACCCTAAACCCTAAACCCTAAACCCTAAACCCTAAACCCTAAACCCTAAACCCTAAACCCTAAACCCTAAACCCTAAACCCTAAACCCTCCCTGAACCCAGAGAATCCGGAAGGTCCGGCGCGTACTACCTGGAGATTGGCGTGCAGAGCGGAACCGAGGTCGGGTCTAGGGTTTAGGGTTTAGGGTTTAGGGTTTAGGGTTTAGGGTTTAGGGTTTAGGGTTTAGGGTTTAGGGTTTAGGGTTAGGGTTTAGGGTTTAGGGTTTAGGGTTTAGGGTTTAGGGTTTAGGGTTTAGGGTTTAGGGTTTAGGGTTTAGGGTTTAGGGTTTAGGGTTTAGGGTTTAGGGTTTAGGGATTGGGGTTGAGGCGAGTGGTTGGGGCTCCAGGGTGTTTCGGGTCTTGGGTGAGGCAGAGTGGGGTGGTTTAGGGTTTTTGTCAACTGGGGCCCGGGAGGATCCCCAGAAACTCCCGAATGCCTGCGCAACCCGAGGCGACGAGGATTTTCAGGGGTTCCCGGATGGGCTATTGTACCCCATTATCCGTTAAAAGGCCCTTTATAGGGTTCATTATGAGGATTTTAAGGCCTAATGGCCCATCCGGGTTTCTAGGGCTTTTAGAAGCGCAGTCGTAAGAGCTGAGCATCCCTATGCTCAAACTTTCAGGCGATCGCTCAAGTCCTGATGGGAAAAATACAGGTGAGGGTCAATTTCCACAAACCAAAGGTACCTAAAACCTAAACCCTAAACCCTAAACCCTGAAGGCGAAACCCTAAACCCTAAACCCTAAACCCTAAACAAGGTCTTAGAAACCCCGGAGGCTCCGAAAGGCCCCACAGCCGAAGTTCCCGACACATGAAAGACACACGCAGCAAAAGCAAACAAGCACACAGACAGAGAACTATAAAAGAGAGTTCAACGACCTAAAGTCAGGTAGGTGGTTGGGAGGCCGGGCTGCCTTTATTAGGGTTTAGGGTTTAGGGCTTAGGGACCCCCAATTAATAGTTAAGTTTCAGTCTCCACACCAAACCCCATCGCATGTGGCATGAAGGTCGCTGGTTTTGTGGATGCTTCCTGGCTACCGACATCCACGGAGCATCAATGGCCGCTGGAAGCATACACTTTCGGGTTCAGGGTCCTCGCGAGTTGCTTTGAATCTTGTGGCCATGCGCAGAGGCGCAGAGCATGAGGGTTTAGGGTTTAGGGGGTGCTGCTAGCCACCAGCTTTTTGACCTGGGGGTGCTGAGCTTGCAAGGACGGGGAATCCACTTTTACTCATGAAGGTGCGACACTGGGGTCTGATGTCGGCATGCCGACAGCTACCCGTAGCGCGTGATCCAAGCAACTGCAAGTAGCAGCTGCAATCACGAATCCGGTCTTGTGAACACGTCCTTTGAACAAAGTTTGCCTCCTCTGCAGGCTGTCAGCGCCAGGCGGGGAGTCCACACACACACACACACACACACACACACACACATGTTCACAGCACAATTCCGACCCACGGCCCTGCATCCCCACCGCTCGTAAAATGGCCAGGGTTTCGGGACGAGCCTTGCGCTCCCCCCCCCCCCTTTTTGGCAGGGTTCTTTGATGCGCTGTACATGGAAGGTGCTGGTTCAGCTGCTGGCCACATAGGCTGGGCTGCTTGTGGGAGCTTCGCTCTGCGAAGTTTCGAGCGACGCCCCCGAAACGCATCAGGGGTAGGTTTGAACATATCCCTTAATACCCAAAAGAGTCCTTTTACAGTCATGGCTTTATAGGGCCCCCAAGCCTACCCAAGACATGCCGTCCTGCTTTCTGGCGTCGCCCGAAACCCTAAACCCTAAACCCTAAACCCTAAGCCCTAAACCCTAAACCCTCAACCCTAAACCTCGATTATCGACGCTAGGCTTGGCAGTGCGGTTCATCGGCGAAAGCATGGCCGAAGTTGCTTGGCGGGTGGTTCAGGATTTAGGGTTTTCGGGTTAAGGTTTCGAGTTTAGGGTTTAGGGCTGGGAGGGTGGTGAGGGTTAAGGGCTTATAGAGCTTAGGATTGCGTTTCAGGAATAAGAGAGAGAAGCATGACATCAGAAGCCTGTGAACAAAAAAGGCCTTGGGGGCTCGGAGGTTTAGAGTTCATGGTAGGAAAGGGGCTTTTGGGTGCAAAGGGATGTGATGCATCGGCGTACCCAGTAGAGTCATCCAACATCACTCAGAGAATGAAATCTTGCCTTTTGTTCACCGAATGGCTTGCCAGGGCACGGGCCAAGTGCAGAGATGCATCATGAAAAGCTAATCACCTACTGTACGACGCGACGCTACAGATCTTTGGGACCAGCGACCCGAGTGACTAGGGCCTCTCAGTTGCCCCTACACCTCGGGCAGGAGCTACAGTTCTTCAGATCCTCGCATAGGCCCCGGCTTAATCTCCTTAAGGCCTGAGCCCTACAGCTTATTGGTGTAGAGGGCTTAGAAAACCCTAGAAACCCTACACACCCTTGACTCCCTAGTCCCAAACCCTACACCCTACGCCCTGAAGCCGCCAAAGGTTCGCTTCTCTTGGGATGGCGTTTGGGGCGGGCCCCAGCAGCTGCAGCTGCTGGGCATGTCCGGGTTCGTCGACCACCCAAAAAAAGGGGTTTTGGGTTTAGGGTTTAGGGTAAAAGAGCCTTAACCCGAAAACCCGACACTGCGAAGGGACCCTAAGCCCTGAACCCTAAACCCTGAACCCCAGTCGAACAAAGAGAAAAAAAGAGAGAGAGCCCCCCCCAAACAACACCTTACAGCCAGCCCCTTATGCCCCTAAGCCCTAAACCTTAAACACTAAACCGGTTCAGTCGTGGCCAGAAAACGGTTTAGTCAAAGGGATCTAGGAAAAGAGCAGGGTTCAGGGTTCCAGCTTTTGGGGTTCGATTTTGTGGGGGGGGCAGGGAACCATGGCTGGAAGATTTAGGGTTTAGGGCTTAGGGCTTATGGCTTAGGGCTTAGAGTTCAGGGTTTAGGGTTCAGGGTTTGGGGTTTAGGGTTTAGGGTGAGTAGAGGTTCGACGACCACCTGATCTTGGTGGTGTTCACCTCAGCTCCTGGGTTGCACGTGTACCGGGGGACCCTGAATCTTGCCCACTGCGCCATCACCGTGGTGAAGGCCTCCTACTATGAGCTCCAAAAAAAGACCCAGCCCAGACGTCCCCTTAGCCCTACATCCGAAACCCTAAACCCTCAACCCTGCTAGGCAGGTGGCAAAAAAAAACCTAAACCCTAAACCCAAAACCCCTGGCCCATACCACGCAGAGGAAGACACCACTTGGCATGTTCCTCGCGACTCCTGGCTGCTTCTGGGATGCGCGTCTCAGAGGGCTCTCTAGGGTTTAGGGTTTGGGGTTTAGGGTTTAGGGTTTAGGGTTTAGGGTTTAGGGTTTAGGCTCTTCGTGGCTTTTGGTCCTGGTCTTCAGTTCTGGCATAGAGGCTTAGGGTTTAGGGTTCAGGGTGTAGGGTTTAGGGATTGCTACTAACAGAGGCTTTGCTTTCCTCCTTGGGCCACGTGAGATGGGCTCAGGGCTTGTAGGGTTCAGAGTCGATGCACTTATTTCCCTGCAACATGAGCCTCAGACCGGTGTAGAGCGTCGAGAGTGGTGCAGTTGCGTTACCCTACCGCAAGCCCCAAATCCCAATGCACACCCTGCTGTTGGAAGTGGACTTCCGGATTGCAATCTGAGTGGTTTCGAGGCACCTGCCGCCCACCATCGTCTACATGCCTCTCACTCAGAGGCAGTTCCCCGAGGTGGGTGCAGGGTAAGCCCTAGACCCTAAACCCTAAACCCAAGGAGCAATCGGCCCGCAAGTTCAGGAAGAGCATAATTAGGCCTTGAGGGTTCAGGGGTTTTGGTTCTCCTGATGGTCCGGAAAAAGGTTTAGGGTTTGGGCCCTAACGAGTGTAGGGCAGTGCAAGGTTAAGGTAACCTGCGCAACTTGCAAGGACATGCGGAAAACCCAGCAGCCGCGATCAAGACAAGTTGCGAGGGTGAACTCCAAATGCGTGCGCCTAAAACCTAAAGACCCCAGACCAAGGTGCGGCTAGAGGGCGGGAAAAAGAGACCAAGATCGGTTTATTGCCATGATGTGTTAGCCCCAGGATGGAACAAAGTCCTCGTATTGGAGCTAGACCCTAAACCCAAATCCCTTAGCCCCCAAGCCCTTAAACCCTAAACCCAAAACCCTAGCACAGAAAAAGCTTTCCATCAAACTCGAAGCCGATCTCAGCTCCGGCCAGCTTTCAGCCCTTTGCCCTTACTTCTTCACAACCTCTAAACCCCTAAAGCCCTAACACCCTAAAGCAAGAAGCCCTAAAACCCCAACACCCTGACACCCTAACACCTTACAACCCTAACACCTTAAAATCCCTAAATCCCCCAACACCCTAAACGCTAAACCCCAAACCCCTAAACCCTAAACCCCTAAACCCCTAAACCCTCTCGCCGGGAGGTTTGCCACTTCCCTTTGCGCTTCCAGATGATGGCCACACCTCCGGTGCCCCTTCCCAGACCTGGTGGGGTCTACGGCACTTAAGAGGATTTAGGGTTTAGGGTTTAGAGTTTTGGGGTTTAGGGTTTAGGGTTTAGGGCTAGGGTTTAGGGCTTAGGCTTAGGGTTTGAGGGGGCTTGATTGTGACCTATAAAAACAAAGAGCTGCTTCGAACACACGGCCTTGCAGAATGCCTTCGGTACCCTTTGTGGGGGGACTCTGTTCTATTTTTTTGGATTTTGGGCTTGTAAACGCAAGCACGTAAAGCGAAATCAAAACGCTGGGTCTCAGATGCGAAGGGACAAACCCCACCCGTAGACTGCAAACCCTAGAGGCACCGCCCCCCCTCCACCCCATCGCCCCCTCAAGAGGGCACCAATACACCCAAACTCTCAAGACGTTGAGAAACCCTGAACCCTAAACCCTAAACCCTAAACCCTAAACTCTAAACCCTAAACCCTAAACCCTAAACCCTAAACCCTAAACCCTAAACCCCACACCTTTCTTTTCTAAGGGTAACGCCGGCATGAGCCGGCTCTCGCAAGGTCTGCCGAGAGGGGCTGCTGACGCTGACCCATGCGGAGGCACTTTCTTGCACCCCTGAAACTGCTGGGGTGTGGACTCCTTCGGAGACCTCCCCCGAAACCTGTGAAACGGAACTTCGATAGGGTTTAGGGCTTAGGGCTTGGGGCTTAGGTTAGGGCTGAGGGCTTAGGGCTGAGGGCTTAGGGTTCCCATCCTTCAACTTGGAACCTTTAGGAGTTCGGGATCGCCAGCATTTGGTGCAGGGAGAGGTGAAGCAGAGTGTAGGACTGCCATCTGCACGAATCCGGTAGTCTCAGAGTACTGGGCCTCCCTGACCCGCCCTTCTCATTTGGCGCCCTCGCGCTGTCTACTTCTGTCGTTGCTGTATGCCACTTTCCCGAAGTGGTTTTTAAGGTTTAGGGTCGCCCAGATGGAAACAAGGGTTTGGGGTATCCTAATGAACTAGGTAGGCCCTTGGGATATTTTATATTTTCCCTTATTGGGTTTAAGAGGACCATATTTAGGAATATTTTTCAGAGGGTTTGAAGGGCCATCCTAGTTAAACCCTAAACCAAAGCCACAGCTTCGCAATGCACCCAAGATCTGGGATGAACCCGTTTGCCCTCCTTGAGAGCTGGTACTTCAAACCCCCGAAACCCCTAAACCCCTAAACATCCCGATAAAAATCCCGATAAAACCCAATAAACCCTACCCCTATGAACCCTACAACCCAAAACGCCCTAAACCTATAAACCCTAAACCCTATAAAGCCCAAAAACAACCCCAAAACCCCTATGCACCCCTGTAAACCCTGTAAACCCCGGCTGCCACGGCCCCAAGCGGAGGATTGCGCAGCAGCCGGATTCTACCTGGGACTTGCCCTCACTCAGGCAGCTCTCAGGGCCTAGGCTTGGCTTGAGGCTCTATAGGGTTTAGGGTTTTTAGAGTCCAGGGAAGAGAGTCCTGGTTCCAAAGAGTCTAGGGAAAAGGGCCTGAGAAGTGTGATGCAAACGGGTTTAGGGTCTGAAGGATCCGGGCAATGCGCGCTGCAGCCCTTGCTCCAAAAAGGGTTCAGGGTTTCCAAGGCTCGGGGTTGTGGGACTTCGGCGCCTGGTGGGGAGCGCGCATGGAAGCCGCACAACATAGCCAGGTCTATGAGGTCCACAGTGAATCAGTCTTCAGTCTATATTCAGTCTATATTCTGAATAGACTCCAATTCCTAAACTTCAACTGAGAAGGCCCTAAGCTGGAAAAGACCTACAAAGCCCAAATGTCTGCCAGGTAGTCTCTGGCTATTTTCCTGGCTATCCGGCCAGCTGCTTCTTCTGCCAAGAATGCGATCAGGGCGAGTCTGGTTTGCAAGACCTGTCTTCGGAATTGAGTCAAAAAGTATTGCTCTCCCGACATCGTGAAGTCCCTGGAAGCCGATGGTCTCTGTAGGCTTAAATGTTTTCAGCCGCCTTCGCTTCAAGTGGCCAATTTCGAGACCCCTAGACAAGCCAGCCACACTGAGACCTCGCCGAAGGACTTATACTTCAACAACGCCTCCATTGAGGAGACGGCTACCGAGTCCATCCGCAGCTTTGCCAGAGAGGATGCTGCCGAGCGTGCGCGTAGAATCATGTTTGGGGAAATTCACGCTGTGGGATTCTTTTGGGCCTTGCCTGCCATGTGCGAGCGCGAGCGTCGAAACCCCAAGCTTTCCTACGCCCGAGGTCGAAACAGTAGGTCGTAGAGGCTAGAGCCAAGGCTAAGACGCAAGACCAGGACCGTAAGCCCCGCCTGCTGGAAAACCTACAAACTTGAACCTTAAAAGCTTAACCGCCGACCGGCGCCAATTCTTTTTGCGAAAGCCCACCTCCCTCATGGACAAGATGTGCACAACCTGAAGCCCAAACCTAGACCCTAAACCCTAAACCCTAAACCCTAAACCCTAAACCCTAAACCCTAAACCCTAAACCTCAAGCCCTTTGACCCGAGCCTTGACCAAACATCCCGAGCCCCAAATCCACAGAACCCGCCCCCCCCCCTCCCCCCCACCTCAAAATACCAAAGCTCTGCTATGGCTGTTGTGGGCTTCTGTAGTGCCGGGTCCGATTGAGATTTGCAGTCTTCCTAAACCCTAAACCCTAAACCCTAAACCCTAAACCCTAAACCCTAAACCCTAAACCCTAAACCCTAAACTAAACCCTTGAGCCCTCGCCACGGCAAGACCAGGTCAGGCTCCCTTGGCAGCCGCCCTCTGCTCGGATCGTGTGCTCCGGGTCGCAACAGAGGCTGGCTGGCGGGGGTGGGGTGGGGGGAGGTTTAGGGTTTAGGGCTTAGGGCTTTGGGCTTTGGGCTTTGGGCTTAGGGCTTAGGGCTTAGGGCTTAGGGTTTAGGGTTTAGGGTTTAGGGTTTAGGGTTTAGGGTTTAGGGTTTAGGGTTTAGGGGGGGGGGGGGGGGGAAGGCTTAATGCCTTAATAAGGTTTAGGGTTTAAAAAGGGTGGAGGTTCAAGGTGAGAAGCTTTAGGGGTTTGCGTGAGCCAGTCAAAAACACGTTCCATTAGCTAGCTTAGCTCGAGGATAAAGGTTTTGCATGGCTTTCTTGAAATCGACTCGTATATGTAGCTGTGTAGAGTTATGGGGTTAGGTCCTAGATTTTGATAAACGCTTGGTGGCTGGCTTCTCTGCATTGGATAGTCCATCCCTTCGTGTGCATGCTCTGCGGCTTCCTTTCCGGCAGCCAATGTCGCGGCTGCAATAGCTTGAACACATTGCAAGGAGGGTTCGTCTACGGACAAAGCCAGTCGTTAAACTCTTCGTTTCTACTCCTAGTTTAATTTCGCAGGAAGCTTTCAGAATCTCTGCAGTGCTGGCACGGTCGTGTGATAGTACCGAAGCTGTGGTAGCGATGAAGTGACGAGAGCGGTGAACATAAGGCAGTTGCTGGTGTGTATGTTCGAAAGTAACAGCATAAGCGTACGCCACTTCTTGCGACACTCGACCCGCCTGAAATTTTACAACCCCCCCGACCCCTAAACCCTAGACGTAACCCTAAACCCTAAACCCAATGCTCTAAACCAAGCCGAGGCTGAAGGAAACTTCTCCATGCTAACCACCGAGTTTCGCTTGGCCCGTGGCCGGTGTCGAGAAGGCTACATGCTGATCTCGAATGTCACACTTTGCGACCCTTGGCGGACATTTTGTGATCCAGGCCCCGAACTTGGCAGTCTGTTTAGGGTTTAGGGTTTAGGGTTTAGGGTTTAGTCTAACTGTTTAGTTTAGGGAAGTTTTGGTCCAAGGTTAGGGGGTTCAGAGCCTCCGAAGTTCTTGAATATCCTTTTAAAGATAGATATGCTAAGCCTGGGCCTTTCCTTGGTCTGTGACATGCACCGGGGTGTTAAACTTGTTTAAGCCCTTAACAAGTGAGAGCCCCGGGATTGTATGTTCTTATGGGTTGAAGAATTTTCAAACCGCCGAAGATCTTCAAAGTCCTGATAAATAAACATCCGGGAGCATGCGGGCCACTTGATTTTTTCAAGTATTTCAAGATTTTAGGCCGATTCAATTTCATTTTAACCCTCAAAAGATACGGCCCCGGAGCTCTATGTTTAATGGCTCTTTTCTTCATCTCTATCGCTCTCTCTGTCTCTCACTCATTTTCTGTTTCTTCTTCTCCTGGCGTTGCCTTCTTATCTTTCAATTTCTCCCCCTTTCCTTTTTCTTATTCTTGGCTCCGGCCGTTCCGCCAGAAGAAACTCATGGAAACGAGAGCGGAAGAGAGGCGACAGAGGAAGAAGGCGAGTGAAGAGGAAAGCTCCCTCTCATAGTTTCGCAGCTGCCCCTCATTCCCTCTCATAGTGTCGCAGCTGCCCCGCTTTGTTCTTCCTACACAAATCAAGAGAGAGGGTTTTCTCTGGCTCACGCACTCACTCACTCGCTCACTCTCTGTCTCGCTGTCGCTCTCCTGCTCTCTCTCCTCTCTCTCTCTCTCTCTGTCTCTCTTGCCTGTTCTCTCCGTATTTCGAAAATGTCTTTCGTTGTTCCTTTCAGTCTTCTTTCTCTCATACTTGTTCTCCTTCTGCTGTACCATTCTCTGTTTCGCTCTCCCTTCTGTTGTCTCTTCCCTTTTCTCCTTTTTCTTCTTAATCGAGATCCGCATTTTCCCTTTGCAAGAGGAAAAGGAAAGGGGAAAGCGAGAAAGGGAGAGGGAAGAAAGGAGAAGGAAGAGGGGACGAGAATTCAGCAAGAGAGAGAGGGAGAAAGAGAAGCGGAACAGGGAATTCGCCGAAGGAGAGACCGATAGAAACGCTCAAACCGAGGAAGGAGGAGATGTTCAGAGTGAGGGCCTCTAATCTCCGTTCCTTTCATTTTCTCTCTTCTCATGAAGAGGAAAGGAAAAGAGAAGAGGGAGAAGGAGAAGTCTCAACCCAGCTCCCGCACCCCCGCCTCTGAGGAAAGGGCGGCAACAGAGTTGGCGCTTGCCTTTGATGGCGCGGTTGCGGTGGTCAACTGGCCAAGAGCTTTTGCCAGCATGGCCACTTGACCACGCTGTGGGGAGTACAGATTCGAGATCCCAGGGGCTCCTCTTTTAAGGAAGCTTAGGGGTTTAGGGTTTAGGGTTTAGGGTTTAGGGTTTAGGGTTTAGGGGTTCAGGGCTAGGCTCTTTCCGAGTGGGTGTATTCTGGCAAGTGGAAGTTGGTGGCAAGTGGAAGTTGGGTGCTTGGGATCCTTTATCTGAATGTGAGCCCCCTGGGACTTTATTCACTTCAAGTTTAGTAGGAACTTCCCTTAAGTAGTAGGCATATCCCATAAGACTGTAGGTAAAGGTGGTCCCAGGTAAACTCTAACCTGAAGATCAGAGTCTTTTTCGGACGTTTTGGGGGCAGCCGTCGCTCAGGACAACTACTGGCCAGTGGGCTGCTTCTATTGCCCGCAGCTTGGAGCAGAGAAGGTTTCTGCTTGGCACTTTCCTGGGACTCTAACGTACCTAGAAATTAGTAGTAGTTACCCTTAATTCATAATGAGTACGTATGACCCACAAAACTGTAGGAAAAGAGATAGGTAGGCCCCTGGGATATTTTACATTTGTCCCTGTTTGGGGGTTAAGGGAAGAAGGACCATCCTAGAGGGTGTCCCAGGTTGAATGACTTACAGTAAACTCCAGAAAGTTGGAACAGGGTTCAAGGATGATGAGAGCTGGCATTCCCTTCAGGATGCCTTTTGGGGGTATGGGGATAAGGATGTTCCAACTTTTTGGAGTTCACTGTACAGGATTCTAGTGCTTTTCCGGCTCGACTGAGATATCCTGTGGCATCCCCTTGCGTTGAAAACATACGGCAGATGTTCGGAAGCTGGAGCTTGATTCTTCTCGCATGGCGGGCATCTTTTTTGTTGAGCCTTAAGGCAAGTGAGCCCTGAGCCCAGGCTATGCGAGACTGCCCACGTCTTCCTCAATCAGGGCAGCTTGAGCTGTTTTACGAGAGAAGATGGCACGCAGCGCAATGCAGTACCCAAGCTGCGGAAACGGCGGCGCGCGGAGTACTGCGGCATATCTAACGCAACACAGAGGCAGGTGACCCCCTTGTGTTGAGACCCCCTGAGGCAATGCCACAGTGGACGAGCTCTTTGGCTGATGCAGCACACGAAGATGGGATGCTTGTCAATTGCGGTGTTTCCAGCATCTTCATAAGAGCCTGAAAGGCATGTGGGCACTGGCCTGAACTCCTAGCAACTGTTTCACAAGCTGCCTAAGAGAGAGCGAGAGAGAGAGATAGATAGAAATATGTATATATATATATATATATTTGTATGTATATATAATATACATATCTCTATATATATATATATACAGACACACCGGCATGTTTGTTGATTGTTTTGTGGTGCCCCGCTCCCCCGTACTTTGTGTTTTTGGAGGGTGGGGAGAGATCGAAGATCCCCATAGAATTGTCCAAGGGGATGTTCAATCTTCAGCCCGAGATTTTCCGGAAAACGTTCCGGAAACATGGGGTTTGAACATTCAGCACATCGATCAGTCGTTAGCCGTTAGCCCGTCGCACGCAGCTTCTTCGGATTCTTCACATCCCAGTAGCCCTCCCAACCAATTCTAAATCAGTGTTAGGGATCCTCTTTTTACTTTTTGGGTTATGGGCTTTCTTATCTATAAACAAAAAGGATCCTTTTTTCTTTCTAGGGGAACAGGGATTAAGCTCCCAACCAATTCTGCACTACCGGACGAGCAAGTTTGGGTGGGTGGGTGGGGGGGTCTTTGGATGTTGTGCTCTTTAGTGTTCAGGAATTTAAACCCTAAAGTCCTAGGTTTAGGGTTTAGAGCTTATAGGGTTTAGGGTTACCCTACACATCGTGTGCAGGGCAGGGATTCAAGAGACCGAGGAAAGTTTCCCCCCAGACATCTTGACTCCTGAGTCTCCGGGTCTGGGAGCCAGGAACTGAAGGACTGAAGGTTTCAGTCCCCCTCAAGATTCGAGATCATCAAGTTGCTGGGTACCAGAGGGGCTGGGTAGCTTATATATATATATATATTATGTATATAATTATATTTATTGGTTTATAGATATATATATATATATATATATATATATTTATTTATTTATTGATTTATTTATTTATATTTATATATACATATGTATCTCTCTCTCTCTCTCTGCCTCTCTCTGCCGCTCTCTCTCGGATGCACTTACGTCTTTGGACCTCCTCCAGGCCGCCTGCAAGCGGGGGGGCTGCTGAGGAGGCCCCTTGAAGTGTCTGAGTTTTAGGGTTTTGGGTTTTGGGGTTTTGGGTTTAGGGTTTAGGGCTTAGGGCTTAGGGCCGTTTAGGGTTTGCCGTTCTGTGCAAGACTCTTGCCGCCTTGTCAGCCTTGCTTGGAGCATCTGCTTCGGGGAAGTACGGGCCGATGTGTGCTGAACCTCCACGTGGCTTCGGCTCAAGTGCTTTCAGCTAGCGCATGCGAGCACCTGACACGAAACACGAAACCCCCCCAGATGTGGCTCCCGGCCTTCTAAGAGGAGAAGGAGAGAGCCGACTTGGCCGGAACGACGGCGCAGGCTTTCCTCCTGGGCGGCGCGACGACGTTGGCCCGCGGACCCTCGATGGGCTGCGCACAGGGCGTCGTGTCCAATCCGGTACAGCCTGCGGCGATGGAATCCAGCAAGTCCATCGAGCCTGTGCCTTAGGAGCCCAATCGGTGGACTTTTTAGCTTTTTGGGCATACTAAACCCCCCACTAAGAGAAAAGTTTATCAATTTTTAAAGCCAGGGTACTGGGCAATCCTCCTAAACCCTAAACCCTAAACCCTAAAACCCTAAACCCTAAAACCCTAAACCCTAAACCCTAAACCTAAGGTGCATCACTCAGAGGCGTCTCCTCTGTCGCAGCCCTCCGCGAGCTTGAAGACAGCGGAGCGGAAGGTGAGCAGCGATGGCTCACCCATTGTCATGGGAAACTCGGTCGGCCCTGTGGGACATTTTTTTGTAGGTTCCCTTATTGGGTTTAAGAGGAGCACATCCAGTGGAATATTTTTTCAGATGGCTTGAAGGGCCGCTAAACCCTGAACCCTCAACCCTAAACCTTAAACCCTAAACCCTACACCCTAAACCCTAAACCCCAAGCCATCCCAGGAAAGTACAAGATGAGCATGACCAAGCAGGACCTGATGGGCGAGGGCACCTCTTCCATCTGCAGGAAAGGCGTGTGCATGGAGACCGGCACCGAAGTGGCCATCAAAGTCTACAAGGCCTTGAAACTCGGTAGGCGATTTTGGGACATGTTCTGTTTTCCGTTTTCCCTTCTTGGGGTTTAAGAGGATCGTTGAAACTTAGGGCAACTTGGGAATGTTTTTGTTTTTAATGTTTAGGTGCTCTAATTCCTAAGAAACAGCTCCTATAATATATTTTTTCTTGCTAGGCTTCCAAGTTCAGAAAAAGGAAAGAGACCCACAAGGGCGAGGACGTGCGACTCCAAAAGTTCCGCAGGCAAATCAGCGTGCTGAAGATGCTGCAGGACCTTCTGTTTGCTCAAAAAGGGCCCCCCCCCTACCTAAATAAGCAAAAGAATACTCCCTATATTATCCGATATTGCCCTTATAAGGAAGTGTGTATATATATATATAGATATATGTGTGTTTTTTTGTGTTTTTTTTTTTTTTTTTTTGGGGGGGGGGGGGGGGGGTTCTCATAAGCAATTCGCAGAGGAGCCGTTTGAAACAGTGTCCGACGAGACGCTCTGGCACCCGCAGCTGGCAGCCACGAAGCCCTCGAAGCTCTTCATGTCCCTGCTGCTTTAGGGGCATTTGGAAATATTTTTTTTGGGGGGGGGGGGGGGGGGGGGCACTCTAATTCCTAAGAAACAGCTATTTAATTTTAAGCTTAGGGGTATTTGGAAACCTGAATTCTTAAGAAACAGCTAAATGGGGTACTGCATTTGGAAATAGTTTCTAATATTTGTGGTACTTGAATTCCTAAGAAGCAGCTAAAGGTATAGTTTTTGCGCTAGGGTTCCAAGATGTTCCAAATGTTCCAAGTTCAGTAGAGGCTGGACTACAGCAAGGACCAGAGTGGCACCCCGGCACCCGATCCCATCGACGGCGTGATGTACGTGGTCACCGAGTTGGCCCAGTACCTTGGGGTTTAGGGTTTAGGGTTTAGGGTTTAGGGTTTAGGGTTTCGGGTTTAGGGTTTAGGGTTTAGGGTTTAGGGAGCCCACTGGTGCCCTTTTACCCTCTTTTTGGGGGTGTTCTAAAGTGGCCAACCCCAAAAAAGGGGGTAGCCTTAATGTAAGATGGCTGCTGGGCTACCAAGGTATAGCCTCAAGGACTACCTGGCCCTCAGAAGGGACCAAGGGAAGAGCCTCTCAAGGGGAGCAGTGAAGAACATCAGCAAGGCCATCATCCTTGTTGTGGCGGGTCTGCATGCCAAAAACCTGGTGCACTTGGACCTGAAGCCCGAAAACCTGATGCTCGGTAGGGCTTCTGCGACATCTTCTATGTTCCTTTTTGTTGGGCTTTAAAAGAGGATCTTATATTCATTTCTCTCAGAGGGCATAATATAAATTCCAATATAAATATTTTGCTTTTTTTGGGTGTTTATAAGAGGATCTTATACATTCATTTTTCTTGTCAGAGGGCTTTTTTTTAAATTCCATCCGAGGATGATGTTCAGTGGCCGGCTGAAGCTGATCGACGTGGATGGCTGCGTGCCCTGTGGGAGCCAGGCTTGACCCCCGAGTGGTACCCTCTTACCCTTTTTTTGTGGGTTCTGGGCTCACCCTAAACCCTAAACCCTAAACCCTAAACCCTAAACCCCTTTTTATGGCTTCTGGGGTTCCCTTATCATCATGGCTCCTATGGGGGCTATCAGGTCTCCATACAGGACTCCTCGATCTCCTTCTCCCCCTGCTACTGCGCGCCGGAGTGGGCGCGGTTCCTGCGTCTTGCTGATAATTTTAGTAGGGCCCTATATATACATATATATATACCCTTTAAGGGATTACATAGGGCCCTATATATATATATATATACCCTTTAAGGGATTACGTAGGGTATATATATTATATACCCTTTAAGGGATTACATAGGGTACCCCCCACCCCCCATCCCCGACTCTAAGCAGCAGCAAGGATTGAGGAGACGGAGTCGAAGATCACCGTGCGCCCGCATCTGGATGTCTGGAGCGTCGGGATGACCATTTGCGAGTTGGCAACCCTGGATGCCGTGCTGAAGCCCATGTACGCCACTCGGTAGGCCCTTAATCCTAGGTAGGATAAGGGGGACCCTGAAAAGGGAACCCCTTCTAAACCCTCTTCTGGCTCTCTTAAACAGGGACCTTATTCAGAGGGTCTATATCCCCAAGGGTCCCCCTAATCCTATCCCCTACTTAAGGGACATTTTTCATTTTTCCCTTGTTGGGTTTAAGAGGATCATATTCAGGAATTATCCCCCCTGGTTCTTCGTAGGGAATGAGGGAATTAGGGCCTGTATATACCCTTTAAGGGATTATATAGGGTACCTCATTCCCGATTAAGAACTAGCCAGTCATTGTTCAGAGGGCTTTAACGTGCCATCCCAGGCCAACTTCCTGCGGAATGGGCACTCCCACCGAGAGGCGGGGTTCCTCTTCATGGACTGGCTCGGCAGCATCGCCAAGGCACCCATTCCGAGGGTTTAGGGTTTAGGGTTTAAGGTTTTAGGGTTTTAGGGGTTCAGGGTTTTAGGGTTTCAGGGTTTAGGGTTTAGGGTTCATCGCCAAGGCACCCATCCCGAAGAGCATCGAGCGGTTTGATCCGGCCTTCCACCAGATGCTCATCGGCTCCCTCCTTGTGTCTAGCTTGGTAGCCCAGTGGTACCCTTTTCCTTTTTTTTTTTTTTTTTTGGGGGGGGGGGGGGGTTCAAGGTTCCCTTATAAAGGAACTAAACCCCAAAAAAGAATATGGTTACGGCCCTTGGGATACTGTATATATGTTCCCCTTTATGTGGGATAAAGAGGCTCCTATTTAGGATTTGTTTCAGAGGGTTTAGGGTTTAGGGTTTAGGGTTTAGGGTGGGGGCCAGCCGAGGTGTGTGACCACACGAAGAGGAAGACCCTGGCCCAGTGCCTCTCAGATTCTTACCTGGAGTCTGACACTTGGTAGCCCAGTGGTACCCTTTACCCTTTTTTCGGTTTAGGGTTTAGGGTTGAGGGTTTAGGGTTTAGGGTTTAGGGTTTAGGGTTTAGGGTAACCAACCCAAAAAGGGTACCCTTATCATACTATGGTTACTGGGCTACTCTCAGGACAAGGAGAAGGTTGCCCAGAACTCGACCACGGAGCAGATGGAGCACACCCAGTCAGAGGCCCCACCCTTGCCGGTGCATGAGACTAGCTGTGACTTCAGAGTTTTTAATGCTACTACTTTATCACTTCATAAGTTTACATGGGTTCCCCTAATTTCATATTAGGGGTGCCCAAATGTTAAACTTTTATTGGGGAACCCTAAACCCTAAACCCTAAACCCTAAACCCTAAACCCTAAACCCTAAACCCTAAACCCTAAACCCTAAACCCTAAACCCTAAACCCTAAACCCTAAACCCTAAGCCAAGGAGAAGGTGGACCGCACCACCCGAAACCGGATCGAGGACACCTCCAGCAAAGCGCCCCTCTACAAGGGCACCCTGTGGAAGCTCAACACGGATGGGAACCCCCAGGACCCGACTACGCGTAGGGTTTAGGGTTTGGGTTTAGGGTTTAGGGTTGAGGGTTTAGGGTTTAGGGTTTAGGGTTCAGTTGCAGAAAGGGTTTAGGGTTTAGGGTTTAGGAACATAAAAAGTAGCAACACGGACGACAGTAGGCCCTTATTCCTTTTTTTGGGGGTTTGGGTTCCCTTACGCGCCACACCCAAAAAGGGCACCCTTTTGATTCCTAGGTTGCTCCTGGGTCTAGTTTTCTTATATGCAGGCACAGGTGTGCTGCTACTTTTTATGTGCATGCACATAAAAAGTAGCAACACGGACGGGAACCCTAAACCCTAAACCCTAAACCCTAAACCCTAAACCCTAAACCCTAAACCCTAAACCCTAAACCCTAAACCCTAAACCCTAAACCCTAACCCCTAAACCCTAAACCCTAAACCCTACAGGACCCGACGCATTGGCTGAAGCGCGACATGTGGGTTGCCTTCAACGGCTCTTTGTGCTACTTCAGCATCAAAGAGACTTGGTAGCCTATGGTGGTACCCTTTACCCCATGTTTTTTTTTTGGGGGGGGGTTTAGGGTTTAGGGTGGGGGGGGGGGGGGGGGGGGGGGGGGTTTCTGGACTCCCTTATAAATGTAAGCAACCTGAAAAAAGTTAGCACAGGGGACGCCTGTCGGTAAGATGGTCCCAAAACCCATACCCCCCCCTACGCTTTTACACCTATAACAAATAAGCCTAATCAAATAGGGTATATCCAAAGACCATCTTCCCAACAGGCGTGGCCAGGTTGATAGAATTTATGGTAAATTTAGGGTTTCAGGGCTTGGGTAGTGGATGATGCAAAATTCTGTTAGTTGTGGTTTCAACGATAATATTATTTATTGAATGATATTATGGTTGCTTTACCTAAAAAATTCGTAGTACCCACGCTATAACATCAATATTGTCAAAGTGTTTTTTATATCCTCTAGTATGATGTTTTATGTATATATAGAACAGATTTTTTAAAACATCATAGAAAGGCATTCTATCATTTCTATAATAAAAGAACTCATCTTCTAGGTCAGATTCATCAAAAATAGAATACCCCTTAGTAGGACATGCTTCAGAAAACCACTGTTTGTATTCATCAAATCCTTTCAAATAATAAGTATCATTAACAAACTTTACCAGCATCCCTTTTTTAGCACTTTCTGAACACCTGATTATCTCTTTCATATAGGTTTTCTTATCCTTCAATGTTTTTAGTTTATTGTATTTGGTGTCTAGATGATTGTAGATAAAATGAAACAACTTTGCCTCTCTATTATATTCTTTATATTCTTCCTTTTCATATTCTAACTCGCACTTCATCATTTTAGAACAGTTATAACAACTCAGATAAGGCAGAATATTATTAACAACACTAGCATCAAAAACCAAATTCAAGACTACTGCCTTTCTAATCCTATGACATTTACACACATAGCAATTCTCCTCTAACTTAAACAATCCCATTTTCACACTTAATATATATAGTCGTCATTTCTTTAAATACTTTCTTCCTTGAATGGTTCAAAAATAAACATCCTTATCAGCATCATACACAACATTATAATATTTCATTGTTTCTTCCTTGGGTTGTTTAATGTCTTTATTATTAAGTTTGCTTATATAGGCACTCCTGCGATTATTATAATTAGCATCCATAATATTAGGTTTATTATCACTAGGTTTAATATTCTCTTTGTTTCCTTCCAACTTTAAAACCCTTTCAACGAGACTATTAACTAAATCTTTTATTTCCGCAACTTCTTCCTTTAATTTCTTGATAGGACTTTTGATTTCTGTCGAGCAATCACTCATATATACAAACCTATATTAAAAGTTTTAAAAGTTTTAACGCGGACGCAAGATCTTCTGAATCTTCCTCCTCTCACCTTCCTTTCTTAAGTCCTCTCTGCAGTTCTTACATTTAGATGAATAACTGTTGTTGCTGACAATCACAAAGTTATTACTCGGATACTCCTTTTTGCACCTCTTGCATTCAATGAGATGTTCTTTGACCTCTTTAACTTCACCAAATACAACAAGCATTATATAATTAGCTAACAAAATATATCATAACATAACGAAATGTTATGAAATATTAAATTCCTTAAGCTTTAACGAGCAAACAAACTAATTAGCTGATACATCTTATGTGTATCAAATTATATAGATGTATCAAGTTACTTCCCTTTCTCTCGTTCATCTATAATGCAGTAGGTATTAAGGGAACTTGCCAATGGGGGGTTTCTTCTCCTTCGTTGAAATCGGCCTGGGCGGACTGTACATTCTTGGGTTTTTTTTTGGAAATAAAAAACCAAGAATCTATAGTTTCACTGTACTCTGTCAAATATATAATGGGTTTAAATTTTTAAATACTTTAATCCATGTGCTCTAACTGACGATACTTCTTGAGTTCTTTTACTTCCGCTTCAAGTTTTTCAATTCGTTCTTCGGGGGTAGCCTTTCGTGAACCAAACCCTGTATCAACAGTATCAACACCCTCTTTATCGTTCATGTTCGTTTTAAAAATATCGTTCCCATCAGGTGTAGCGTTGCGATAACCGCTTCCGACTCTCCATGAAGTACGATTTTCGGTTTGTTTGATTATCGTTTTGCCTTCATCATCCTTTGTTGTTTTTGTCTCCTTGTGCAGTGTCTTCTTATTACACCTACAAGGAAAGCAATCAACGTTGCCTTTATCCAAATGGAAGCCTCCTTCCTTTTGTTCGTTGTCTGTCATTTAACTAGGTTAGATTATTTATTTTTGCGATTGTATTTAAAGTATTCAAGCATTATTTTGCAAACTTCCAAGAAGGAGTAACAACACCTGCGATATTTGGGAGGCGTTATTTTTTCTTGTATTTCTTCAATGTTCTCAATAACATCAATATAATCGCTGTAATTTATTTTATCCATATTATTATATTATATAATGATTACTCCTATAGTCAAACCTGTTAATGTTAAAGAATATGATTTTAAACAATCTAAGTATGAAATAGCACCGAGACTACCATTCAGTCAAATAATAACAGGTCCCTCAGGTTCTGGTAAAGGTATATTATTGCAGTCAATGATACTAGACATTTACAGAGATGTTTTTGCTAGAATATACATTTGGTCCCCTTCAATTTCAGTTGATAGCAATTGGACACCAGTTAAAAAATACATCCAAGATAATTTAAAGGTTGATTTAGAGAAAGAAAAGTGCCTATTTGACGAGTATATACCAGAAGAACTGGAGGCAGTTATAAAAAGACAACATAAGGTAATAGAATATCAGAAAAAGAACGACCACAACAAATTACACTCAATACTTATTATTGTTGATGACTTTGCTGATTCAAAAGCGTTCTCGCGCAATAGCCCGTTATTAAATCAGTTGTATGTGCGCGGGAGACATAACGCAATCAATATTATAACAAGCACACAAAAATTTAATGCTTTATCACCAATTATTCGTGTCAATAGTCGTCAGTTGTTCTTCTTCAGGTTAAGGAACTACAAAGAAATAGAAACCATGGTTGAGGAATTGAGCGCCGTCTTAATTAAAAAATCTACCGTAGCAGACACTAAAAACTTACAAGAGGCGAAGAAATTATTATTAGAGGTGTATAATCTAGCTACCGAAGAACCTTACAGTTTCTTGTTTATCAACTTAATGAAGGCTGATGTGAATGATATGTTTTATAAACGCTTTGATGCTAAATTAGTTATTGATTAAATGCTTAAAGATTAAAACCTAAATACTAAATAATGGAAACAATATTAATATGCGGTGTAATGATGTATATAGTTGAGTGTGGTAAAGCGATGCTTAGACATATTGAAAGTGATGGTTTAACAAAGGAAGGTTTGATTAATTGTTGTTTAACACCGTTTATGCCTGTGATAGTTCCAATAATGGCTGTTGGTTATGGAATATATTATTTAGGAGAATCACTGTTTTGTTCTAGATCAGATGAAAATAATGAAGAAGATAATTAATAATATTATTCAGCTATAATATTATTAATCAAATGATTGAATAATTACATAATGTTACAGGTGGCAGTTTATAATATATTTTGTCGCTTTTCCTCTCTTCTAACTTTTCAACTCTTTCAATAACATCTTTTAAAGTATTGAATAATAATATGTCTGTTTTAGTTTTTTCATTAATATCTAATTCTTTTATTTGTTTCATATTTTCACTGACACAAGATTTAGAAGATTTAGCTCCCATTATATATTATTTTAGAATTTAATTCTTAGTTTTGGCTTTTGCTTTCGCCTTCGCTTTCGGGCTCTCCTCGCCTTTCAACTTCTTAACCTCCTTCTTTAAATCTTCAACTTCCTTAATCAAATGCTGTAATGCTCCGTGTGTTATTACTGCTGTTTTACAATAATCTAATCTTTTGTGTCCTTTATTATCTGTTGTTATGATGCCTTCCCATTCTTGCGGAATTACACTCTCAACATCCTGAGCAATATATCCAATATGATTAACTTTATTTTTCTCTTCGTTCAAATGTGCAAAATTAAATGTTTTTGGTTTTACATATTTAACTATTTCATAACATTTTTTACTATCAATTTCTTTAATATTTTCTTTTAATGTAAAATCGGACGAATAAGCAAAAGTCCCGTCAATATATACACCTCCTGCTGTAATTTCCAATACTTCATTCCCTGCTGTTGTATCACCAAAATAAAAGAACATCTCACCTGCACTATCTGTATTACAAAATTGTATTTGTTCGTATGTTGCTATTATTGTTTCTTGTGTTATTTCTAAATTACTATTCATTTTAACTTTACCATCAGTTAATTGAATTTCCGGCGTTGATGATTCTAATCCAACAGTTAAATTAATATCTCCTAATGTATCACCATTTCTGATATATAACTTATATTGAGTATCCAATACTTCTTTTAATTCACTACTGTTCTGAAACATAAAGCGACCCCAACTAATAACATCCGCTTCACCAACGATATTACCAATGCTGTTAAATGTTTGATTATTTGTGACTGCTCTATTTATAGTAATTCCGTTAGTGTCGTTTAATTGTAACGCTATTGTTCCTGTTGTAGGGTCGGTTGTTCTATTTGATTGTAATGAAAAATTAATTTCGTTAGTTGATATTACATTTAATGAATTATTAACGTCCGCTCTTTGAAATATTCTGCCTGAATTATTAACATAAATATCGCCGTTGAATGTTGATGTGCTTTGAAAAGATGCTGTGCTTCCAAAATTAGCATTGCCTCCCGATACATTTAGTTTGTTTGAACCTTGAATGACTCCAATGCCTAAACTTAAACAATAAACGCCATTACCGTTTGCTGTGTTCAATAAAAGTAATGACGATGAGTCATTGCTTGTATTATACGCGTTAATATTAAATGAGTTAAATCTTATATAACCTTGTGCGTTTTTTACGGTTAAAACATTACTGGCATCCGTGGTATCTTTATAAAATGTAATTCCTGAGTTATTAGAA